GCGTCCCGAGTTTTTTTCCCCACCTCAGCTTTTCTTTTCCTGAAGAGTCCTTCCCTCCATCTGTGTCCGTCAGCCTGTCCCCTGTGGGTCCCAGCTGCTGGCCTCCCCCCATCACCCTGTCCATCTCACCCTGGGGACACTCCTGTGAGTCCCCTTTTGTCACCTCTCCAGGAAGGAACCCAGTGCAGCTGCCCCAGCAGGTGCTGGGGGTGTGGCTCCAGGCTCAGGGAACAACGCTGGGGGACCCAGCCTCCTGGTGCCACTTCCTGTGAACCCTCCCAGCTCCCCAACGCCCAGCTTCAGTGATGCCAAGGCAGCTGGCACCCTGCTCAATGGACCCCCGCAGTTTAGCACCGCCCCGGAGATCAAGGTGAGTGCAGAGCCTGTCCTGCCCCTGCCAGCTTCGCCCCAGGCCTTCGCTACACTCAAACCCACACACGCCTCTACCTCCACCTCCCACACGGTCACTGGCTTTCTTTCTTCCTTTCCCTACTGCCCACACCCTCACCTTGTCTCTGGGTCTCTCTACTGTCCCCCACCTCTCTGCTCCCACTGGCTTTCTGCTGGCTCCTGGTGGTCCTTGCTCACCTGCTGTCTGCTCTCTGTCCTCATTTCTCCTAAGACACTTTGTATTTTTTTCACACAAACCACTGTCCAGCTCACTGCCCTCCTATTCCCTTAAAGAAATGATCTAAGCCCTGGCTGGTTTGGCTCAGCGGTTGGAGTGTTGGCCTGCGGACCAGTTCAGTTTCCGCTAAGGGCATGTACGAAAGAGAAAAAAGAAATCATCTAAGTTGAGAAAAGGCTTGTTGACACCTGCTCTGGGCATGTGTCTTAGTAAACGCACCCAGTTCCCACCTTCCGTGCAGAGAGCAGAGCCTGCTGGGTGGGGTATCCAAGCTGCCGAGGGTGCTTTGGGCCCATTTGGTGCATCTCAACTAACTTATGGAGACAGCGTCCAAGCTGGGACCCGGATAGGGCAGGTGGGGTCACAGTGGCAGGAAATGCTGACAGAGGAAGAAGTGGGTATCTCTGTTTGGGAGTTCTAGGTGGGCTGATGTTGCAGTGGTTGTTAGAAGGCTGGGTGGGGCTCAGCAGAGGGGAGGGAAAGGGGTGTCCACATTGCAGGAGGGCGTACAGGCTGGCTGTTGGAATATAACCAGAGAGGGCAGGGGTCCTGATCGCCAGAGTCTGAAATGGCATCAGAAGGACTTGGGGCTGACTTCCTGGGCCCTGCGTGTTAGACCTGGTTCAATGGGGGCAGCGTGAGTGCCTGACTGTTGGAGTCCAAGCCCGTGCTGCCCTCTGTGTCTCCCTCCACCTGGAGCACGGCCACCATCACTTGTGACAGTGCTTGGAAGGCTGAGTAGCCCTCATGAAGCTCTTGGAGCTTCGGGTCCAGAGTGAGCAGTCACACCGAGGCACCAAGGACAGGATGCTCACGTGTGTTCATGTTTCTGGAGCAGGGTCAGCAACTGGGAGGTTCCCAACAGGGAAGGATTGCTGGGGTGAGTGGTGGGAGCCTTGGGAAGGTTTTGAGTGGAGAAGTACACCAAGTGGTGGAGGGGTCCCGGTGGGCCGGGGAGAACAGGAGGGAGGGAGGCGCTGTGAAGGCCTGGGCAGGCGAGGAGAGGCGGGCTGTGGGGCACGGAGTTGAGACAGGAAAAGGAGGTGCTCCAGTTGACAGGAGTGGTGGCGCGCGTGTGCGGGGCAGGTGGTTAGTCCTGCGTGCACCGTCCTGCCAGTGTCCCTGCGACCTCCATGCAGGTGCAGCACGGCAGGGCATGTTCTAGGCACAGCCTGCTGGCGTGTTCTTCCGTGTCCAGCTCCCCTGGCTGGGGGTTGCAGTGAACACTGTCTTACACTAACGGCCTTGGCTTTGCTGCCCTCCCCCAAAGCAGGCGAGGGTACCGGGCACCGGGACTCTGCCCTCGAGGCCTGAGACACCTGTTCCCTCCCCAGGCCCCTGAGCCCCTGAGCTCCCTGAAGTCCATGGCAGAGCGGGCAGCTCTTGGCTCCGCCATCGAGGACCCCGTGTCCACGTTGCACCTGACTGAGCGAGGTGAGGGTCCAGGCATGGTGGGGGTGGGGTGGCCCAGTGAGGAAGGGTGCCCCACCAGCCTCACCCAAGGGCCTGGCTCTGCTGTCCCTACAGACATCATCCTGAGCAGCACAGCAGCAACTCCGGCCTCAGCCCAGCCACCCCTACAGCTGTCGGAGGTGAACATACCACTGTCCTTGGGGGTATGTCCACTGGGGCCTGTGCCCCTCACCAAGGAGCAGCTCTACCAGCAGGCTATGGAAGAGGCTGCCTGGCACCACATGCCCCACCCTTCAGACTCTGAGCGGATCAGGTGAGGGGCTGTGGGGAGGGGGACCTGAGCCTAGGGAGGAGGCTGCGGTGGGGATCTGTTCCCCAGTTCTGAGACTAGATAAAGCTTGCTGGGCATGACTTGGGCCTCTCCACAGTAGGTGGGGACTGAGGAGTTCAGGGCTGGGGTGAGGTGGCTCAGACACTCCCACTGATTTAAGAGTAGTGGGGTGGCAGGGAAACTGAGGTCAGGCCAGGGGGTGGCCTTCAGCCACCCTCCAGACAGCAGGGGCAGCAGGCACTGGCACTAACAGGTCTGGTCCCCCACAGACAGTACCTCCCCCGGAACCCCTGCCCGACGCCCCCCTACCACCACCAGATGCCACCCCCGCACTCGGACACCGTGGAGTTCTACCAGCGCCTGTCCACTGAGACGCTCTTCTTCATCTTCTACTATCTGGAGGTACAGCAGGGCCCCCGGGGCAGCCTCGGGCCCCCCGGCTTCGCCGCCACCGCCGCCGTCCCCCCTCGGGCTAGAGGGGTGAGGTGGGTGCCCCACTGCGGCCACCAGGACCGCACCCCTCCCCATCCCCTAGTCCTGGGCTCCCCTAAACCAAACCTATCTCTGTCCCCACTTCAGCACAGAGGTGTTAGAAAGACTGAGGCTAAGGGCTTAGGTTGCCCCTCTTCCAGTGCCTATCCCGTTCAGATGTCCCTGCCTCTGTGACCCCAGGGTGTCATGAACAGCCTGTGCCCTGGTCCTGGCCTGGGAAAGTGCCCAGGCTGCCCTCTGAGCTCTCCTCATGCACTAGTTTCTCTTCCTTCTCAAAGCTTCTCTGGAAGCACTTCCCACCTCCTGTCGCCTTTTCCTTCTGACCAGTGCTGGTATGTCCTGGGCCCTGCCTGGCTCCAGCTGGAGTCCATCCCATCCTTAGTCTGTGGCGGGGCCCATCCCCCTCATGCCTCCCACTTGGAGGTGCCTCCTGATCCCCCCACTGCGCCCTTCCTCCCCCAGGGCACTAAGGCACAGTACCTGGCAGCCAAGGCCCTGAAGAAGCAGTCGTGGCGATTCCACACCAAGTACATGATGTGGTTCCAGAGGCACGAGGAGCCCAAGACCATCACCGACGAGTTCGAGCAGGTGAGGCCCCTCCCCGTGACCCCTTCACCACCACCTCCAGCCAGCTCAGTCTGGGCTGTCCTGTCCTTCACTAAGCCAACTCCTAGTCATCCCGTAGGTCCTAGACTAAATGCCCCTTCCTCGGGGGAGGCTCCCCCAGCCACACAGCCCATGCGCCTCTCCGCTGGCACGGTGGGTGTGTGGTGTCTCCCATCCACGACCCTACTGCACAGGGGCTTGAGGCCTCCTTCCTGCCTGTCGCCCGCACTCAGCAAATGTGAATGGGGAAGCTGAGCTTTAAGTGACCTTCTCCAGCTCTAGTTGATTGATGGGAACTTATAAAATGCTCAGGAGATTACCTGGGTTTGAACCCCCGTCTAGCTGGGTGATCTGGCAAGGCACTTAAAGCTGTCACCATTTCCGTTATCTGTAAAAACGGGTGACGGGACCCGCCTTGTGCAGTTGTGAGGATTAAAGGAGTTAATCACGTGTGCGTACCTCACGGTGCCTGCTAGCAGCGTCCGTGGCATACTGCGTTCTGTTCCAGGGCACTTCCCGTTGTTCCACATTGCTTTTCCCCCAAATACTGCCTGATGCAAGTACTGAACAAGGTCCTTGTCCTCAGAGAACTCAGTCCCCTCCCCTCGGTTCTTACAGGTTCTTTGAAGCATTTCAGCCGTTCAGAACCCAGCCCCATTCCCACTGTGCCTTCTCTGACACTACAGACTTCCTGTCCCCTCCTGGTTGGGTCCAAAGTTATCAGCCAAGTTAGTATATTTCCAGGCATCACTCCTCAGAAAGGCCCATACCACCACTGTCACCAGTAAAACGTCCGTCCCATAGACAGCCTGTTCCATCTCTGGACGGGGTCATGGCCTCGAGGGGTTTGTGAAGACGCAGTGCTAGGACACACATCATGTACTCGGCACCTGAGCAGTGCTCAAAAGCCACAGCCATCCTGAGAAGCCGAGAGAACTTCGCAAACATGCCCCGGGCCTCAGCCCAGCTCTGGCCCGTGACCTCTGCGCCTCCCTCTATTTCCTCTAAAGCGGGCGTGATAACTTTGCCTACCTGAGAAGAGTGTGGCCAGGGCGGATGAGACGGCGCACGCGTGCAGGGCCTGGTGCCTGGCACCGGCACATCCATGGCCCTGAGAACAGTCCCCTTTGTCTGTCGGTCCGGCCCAGCTCCCCAAGCACCTCCTCGCCCCCTCACTGATCGCCTTCTCCCCCGGCCAGGGCACCTACATCTACTTTGACTACGAGAAGTGGGGCCAGCGGAAGAAGGAAGGCTTCACCTTTGAGTACCGCTACCTGGAGGACCGGGACCTCCAGTGACACCGGCCCCTCCCTCCACCCTCCCTTCCCCCAGCATGCTGATCCCCTGCCCAGGTGAGGGCCCTGTCCTGGAAGATGGGGGAGGCCCCAGGCCATGGGGCAGCCCCCTCCCCCAGGAAGCAAAGAGGGGGCCGGGAGGTTTTCTCTTCCTCTCAGCCCTACTCTGGGGGCCTGGGGGCAAGGGCTGCCCCCTCCTCCCCTCTCCAGTGAGGGACATTTTTTGGTAAACCTATTTTCATTTTGGAAAATATTTATGAATAAATAGTTTTATATGACGGCTGGCAGCAGCAGCCTCTCCTGTACCCCTCAGGAGTCAGTGAGCAAGAGGGGGGTCCTGCCAGCGGGGGCGCCGGGCCAGCTGGGGGTTGAATTGGGAGTTGTACCGCCTCCGCCGATCATCTGCCTCTTCTGGCTGCTCCTCCTGGGGTGCCCCGCCTCGGACCCGGGCCAGCAGGGCCTCCGCCCTCACCCTCTCAGCTGCTTCTCGCCGAAGGCGTTCAGCCCGAAGCTGGTCCAGGGAAGGGGATCTAAGGGACAAAGAGTCGGTTAGAAAGCTCGTAGCTCTGGGAGGCCCCAGCCTCCCCTGAGAGGGAGCTGCCACCGGGTTCCCCCCTGCCTGCATCCAATGAGCTCCTGTCCTTGGCACACAGAGCCCTTGGGACCAGGAAGCTGGCCTCATGCCAGGGGCCAGGATCTGCACCTCCCCTTCTGTGGGCTCTGGCCTCCTCCCCAGTCTTAACGACCAGGTGCTCCTTCCGATCAAGAGCCTGCTGTTAATCAGCTGTGTGACACCAAGCACATGCTGGCCCGGACCCCCCTTCTGTGTTTGGGGGGGTTTGCCAACCTAGCGATGCACACTTGCTTTTGCTGTAACCCTGTGGTTCCCAAACTCTGATCTCTCAAGACTCCAGGACCCCTAAGAGCTTCCCTGTGTGTGGGTTTATGTTAGCATTGCGCACACCAGAAGTGTAAAATCCTAGAAATGAGAATGTCCCACTGGCCATGAGCAATGGAATCTTCCCGTTCACACAGCCTTTGGAAACCTTGTACACTCTGAACCTGCATGAAAAGCTAAATAGTGTTGCTGTGAAAATGGGCTTGACCTTGCTGAGCCCTGAAGGGGTGTCAGGTTCCCGGGGTCGATGAGAACCAGTGCCCACACAGGCCGCCTCCTTACTCTTTGGGCCGCTGTTTCTCTGGCCCCTCCTTTTCCTTTCTGCTGTGTCCACTGTGGTCATCGCTGTGCCTTCTCTTCTTCCCCAAATGCTTTTGCATCTCCAGTAGAGGGTCCAGGCGGTTCTTGACCTTCACATCTGGTCCTGGGCCAGGCAGGGATGCCCCTCGTTCCGGGGGCAGCTGGTACCAAGGGGGCTGAGTCTGGGCTTCTGCTGCACTCTGGCCCAGGTACGTCAGGATGCCCAGAGCTTTCTCCTGCCTCTCCTGAGGGGGACAGAAAACACAGAAGATTGTCAAGTGTGTCTCCCCTCGGGGAGTGGGTGTGACAACAGACACACCCATGGCTGGGAAGGCAGAACCAGTCATTCAGCCAATGAACGTTGTCATGAGCCAACTCTGCCAGGCGCTGGTGAGACAGGAGACCAACACAGGTGGAGGTCCTGCACTGGGGTGCAATGGCAGTTCTAACAGAAAGCACAGGGAGGGGAGGGGTGGAACTACTTTAGGATTCAAAGACAGGCATCTTTCCGGGCATAAATATCTGAAAAAAGGAAGCAAGGCACAGAATTGAAGCAGGGGGAGGGCAAGTTCATTTGTGAGGAGAGGTGAATGCCAGGATCTGATTTACATTTTATTAAGTTCCTTCACCCTTCCCAAATTCCTTCCCTAGAGTCTTGACATCAAGCTGCAGACTTGAAGGGTCTGTACCTGCAGCTTTGGGGGGGGGGGGCTGGGGGGTGTCCAGCTTCCAATTCTAAGCCCAGGAGGGCCTGGATGGTATAACCAGCACTTCCTGAGAGCTGGTTGGTTCTGTTCTATTAGCTCACTTAATCTCCACCTGTTCCCTGTGCTCCTGCTAGATGCACCTGAGGACAGAGTGCCCCTCCTCCCAGCTCCATCCATGACTGGTGAAGTGGGCAAGGCCAGCTTACTTTCTCCTGTCGCTTTTCTTCTTCATACTCTTTGTTGTTTCTGGTCACCCCTTTCCCCTCCTCCAGCAGCTCCCGAAACAGGTCCACAGGGCCAGAACTCGGGGCTCCTGCATCTGCTGCTTCAAGCTCAGGTAGTGAGTTCCGATGCCTGGCTTTCTTCCGTAGGAATTCTGTGCGGGCCTGGGGGGAAAAAAGTGATAGGCAGAACATCCGAACCTAGATGTGGCCCGAGGGACTATGAGCCTGGTGCTAGGGGCCACCAAAAGGGAAGGAGGGGCACTGGGAGCCCAGAAGAGACACCGATCCCAACCTGGGGGAGGGTGGGTAAATGAGGTGTATAGAGGGTTTCCCAATCTCCGTGATCAGTAGATAACTATGAAGGCAGCCAAACGTATATTAGGGCAGGTGATGTGAGCTCCAGGCAGGGTTTCACGTCACTACAGTCGATTTTTAATTTTTTTAATTTACTTTAGAGAAAAGAAGGGAGACAGACAAACATCAATTTATTGTTGCACTTAATGCATTCATTAGTTGCTTGTATGTTCCCTGACCGGGGACCAGAACCCACAACCTTGGTGGCCTATCGGGGGTGGGAAGGGTGGGCAACGCTGTAACCAACTGAGCACCAGGCCAGGGCTCCCAGTCTAAATATCTCCTTGAAATAGGACTGTTAAAAGCCCAATCTACCTCCCAGCCAGTGCTGAGGACCAGATTAGCTAAAGGACTGACGGCCAGGTGTAAACCAAACAGGTGAAGGAGCTGTAAAACGTGCGGCTGGTGTTAGTGTGTGGACACGGCACGGCAAAGGGCCCCCCACGGGGCAGCACGGGCTCGCGCCCGTCACTCCGCGGCGGCGTCCCTGCACCTCGGGGCTGGCCGGCCGCGGGGCTGGAGGGATGCCGCGAGTCGGGCGCTGGGCGCGGGGCGAGCATCCAGTGGGCGCTCGCTCAATAAATACACTGCAGACGAACTCAAAAGTGGTCCGAGTGTCCTCTAACTGCCCAGGGGTTCCTTTACTCGTAAGCTCCTATTCTGGTGCCAAGCACCGCTCTGCCCTCGCGAAGCACTTGAGCGGGAGAAACGGGAGCGAGGAAGGTTCCTCGGGGACCACCTCTCGGTTCCGCCCGCACCGGGTGCCCAATTCCGTGCGGGACGCATTGCGCCTGCGCGCCATCTCCACTTCCGCCATCTACCGGGGCGCCTGCGCGCTGGGCCCAAGAGTCCCGCCCGGCCGCTTTCGGAGCCTACCTCTTGCTGAGCGAGAAGCACCCTGCGCTCACGCTCTTTCTCCTCCTCCCGGGCCTGGGCCTCGTCCCGCCGCACGCGGGCGACATTATCCTTGTTCCGGACGTGCCAGCTCTTCTTGGGCAAGATGTTCATGGCGCCGTAATGATCACAGACTGGCAGACCCGCCTCCTGGCACTTCCGATTTGCAAAGGGATGCCCCTCCCTGTTGTTCCTGCCCCGGCCGCGGATTGGTCTTGGGTTAATTGACACGCCCCTCCCCCAACGCCTCGAATCACGCGTTGTGTCGCCTAGCGACCGCCTTGCATCAACGCTCTGAGCCAATCACAGCGCCTCCACTTCCGACGCTAACCGGACGCGGCCTCTGATTGGCGCCTCTCAGATTCTCTCCAGGCCAATACGTTTGATTGGCTCGTGTCCCGCAAAAGCCTCGCCCTCCCACCCACGACTTCAGCACGCAAGTTTCCAAGAGCGCTAAGCTGACTCCGCTGTTTATTGATACAAGAATGAGGTTCACTGGACAGTCAGGGCGTCCAGGTCCCTGAAAATCTCAGAATCCCCGGGCTGGGAGGAAGTACCGTCTCCTCCAGTTCTCCCATTTTACAGGTGACGTGGCCAAGGCTTACGAAGGGTTTGAGCCAGGCTGGGGAGGTCAAGGAGCCCCGTTGGCCGCGCTCAGCGCCACGGCACGCTGGGCCAGGAAGACTTTATTCTGCGCCTCCTGGAGTAAAGGGTAAAGAGAGGCGGGGGTGAGTCAGACCTTATCTCCCCTGTGTTCTTTTCCATATTCCCCAGGACCCCTTCCCGGGACCCGGCCTGGCTCACCGTCTCTATTTGCCGTTTGAGCTCAGAAATGAGGCGTCCATATGAGTTAGCCAGGGCCAGGGTATACGCCATCAGGATGCTAAGAGCACAGGAATAAAAGCCACTCCCCAGAAGCTCTTAGAATAGCTTCAATGTATGGATCCTTAGAAACAGAGGTCTGGACCCCCCGCCCCTCCTTCACACCTGGGAGTCCAGGCCAGCAGTCCCCTCCTTTCTTCAGACCCAGGAGTTTAGGCCCCCAGCCCCTCCTCCCTCATTCGCGAGTTTAGTTCCCTCACTCAGAGGGATCTTGAATCCTCCCTCAGATTCAAGAGTTTGGGCAGCTAGCCCTCTCCTGTCTTCAGATCCAGGAGTTTAGGCCCTCAGCCCCCTCCTCTCTTGGACGCAGGCATCGGAGCCCCCAGATCACACACGTTCAAACTGAAACCCAAGAGTCTGGGTCCCCTTACCTGGAGACCAGCAGGAGGGGCACAGCAAAAGCTTGAGTCCCCAGGAAGAAGAGAAAGTTCTGAGTGATCTGAGGGAGTCTGGAAATAAACTCAGGGATCTGGGCCCAGATGGACAACTTCCCCCGGAATGGACCACACAGCTTAGAAGGCGGGATCCTGAAGTCAGAGACAGGAAGAGCTCAAGGATGGCCGAGAGTCGGGGTCCTGGATGAGGGTGGAGGGAGGGACGGAGAGGCAGGCACCTCTCACACTTACAGGAAGATACTATAAAGCACAGGAACGGCGGAGACGGCCAGACCCAGGAGAAGGACCATGGGGAAAAAGAAATTCGCCGTGGAGGCCCGAAAGGTGCGGGAGGCCGGGGAGCAGGTGGAGAAGAGGACCAACTGGCAAGGGAAGAAGGGACTCTGAGACACAGGCGTCTGAGCTAGAGTCTGTTTCCCCATCCAGGAGTCCTGCCCCTGGCCCCTCCTCATTCAGGATCCAGGAGTCCCCAGGAGGCGGGGAAGAACCTCAGACCTAAAAGTTGGGATGCCCTCGAACCCCTCCTCCCACATCCAGGAGTCAGTCTTCCAGGTCCTCCTCTCTCAGGACCCAGTAGCCTGGGACCTTAGCATCCTCCTCCCTTAGGACCTAGTCACATCCCTCAGTCCCTCCCCCAATAACCTGCAACTCCAGACCCGCGCTCCCCACCCCTCACCTTTTTCAAATAGAAAAGCAGCAGGAACTTGGCTGTGTTGAGCAGGGGCAGAAGAGGGCAGAAAAAACTCCCCACCCAGACCACTGTCTGCGCGTAGATGAGCCCCAGCACCTCGTCGGGCACCTGGAATTCCTGGGTCCCCAAACGACCCAGCGCCCCGGGACAGAGACCACAGAGCATCCTGAGGGGCGGGGCCGGGAAGAGTCAGAGGCGTGCCAACCAGCGGTTTCCCCGCCCCCGCCTTTTTACCCGCCAATCAGAAGTGATCCTGTTTGAGGGGCGGGGCCAGTGGGATGTAACCACCTAACACACGGAGGGGCGGGGTCTGCGGATTTAGGGCCGAGAAAGGGAGCGTAGGCGGGACTAGAAAGGGCGTGGCGAAGGGGCGAGGCGTGGTTTAAAGGGGCGGGGCTACCGCGAGGGGCGGGGCTCTCACTTCCGCGGGAACTGGATGAACAGCGTGATCGCCAAGCCAGTCAACAGGTCAAAAAGCAGGAGTTTGTACATCTCCTGCCCCAGCCGCGTCTCCCAGCACTGAGGAAGGAAGAAAGGGGTGAGGATGACCTCAGAACCCAGGCACCCAGAGGCCCAAGCATCCGAGTCTCTAAATCACGAGCGTATGAGATGCTTTCTCTGGAGGTCTTCAGTTTTTCAGAGCGCTCCTCCCGCCCTGTCCTCGGGTGAGGGTGTTCCAGCACCCTAGCTCCTCTCTCCCAAACCAGGAGTCTGGATTGAGGACCCCTGTCCTCACCGGAAGTTCTTTGTAACTGTAGCCACAGCGTTTGCACGCCTCATCCTCTGCGTTGCCCACGCAAGTGATCTGTTTCCAGAGAGACAGGAGCAGGACCAGCAGGGAGGCCAGGCGGAGAAACACGGTCCTGGCAAAGGAGAGAAAGGGGGTCAAGCCCGGACCGAGTGCCAGGCCCCGCCTGTGCAGAGCGTGCTCGCGAGTCTCCCCACTTCACAGATGAAGAAACGGAGGCTCAGTGACAGAGAGGCGGGGTTGAAGCAGGGTTTCCGTGTCTCCTCTGCTGGTACCTCGACACACCGGCCCCATTATCGCCCCAGCCCACCCCACCCCCGAAGGCTGGAAAACCTGAGCAGGATTAAAACGATCTGGTGGCTCCTGGTGTAGCCCTCTAGCTGCGCAATGAGCTTGAACACGGGCGGCAGCACCAAATTGACCCCGGAGATGAAGATGGGTGAGAGATAATCCACCCCGAGCTCTAGCAGCAGCATCTTCTTGACAAGAGGCGACTTCTGGGAGGGAAGGGGGGCCAAGACAAGAGGCTCTGGGTTCCTGGAGGAGCCATGCTGGAGGTGGGCCCCCAGCCTCCAACCCCGCCACCCCTCCTCTCTAAGATCCCAGGAATGTAATTTCCAGCCCCGCGGCCCCCCTCCCCAGACCCCTCCGCACCTTCAGCTGCATGGTGGACACTGTAGCCCAGTAGATGCCATAGAAGGCGGCCCCGAGGAGCGCCACCACCAGCAGGTTGAGCAGCACCCGCACCGACCACACCCTGGCGTGCTGGCCCAGGGTCCGCACGGCAGCCCTGCGCCGCACATCTGCCTCCTCCAGCTCCACCTGAGCCCAGGGAACAAGTCCGCTTGGGTGCCGTTTCCCCAACTACACGTGGTGGAGCAACACCCTTCTTTTGTTTCCGTTGTTTTTATCCTCACCCGAGGACATTTTTCCATTTTTGTTCAGATGGAGTGAGAGAGGAAGAGAGAGAAACATCGACATGAAAGGGACACATTCAGTGGCTGCCTCCCGCACGACCCCAACCCGGGCCGGGGACCAACTGCAACCGAGGTAGGTGCCCCTGACCGGAATCGAACCCAGGACTCACTGATCCGCTGGCCGACGCTGAGCCAAACCGGCCAGGGCTGTAGCAACACCTTTCTAAGGACTTGTATAGTCTTGTCGCAGCCTCTCTAGGGCCCTCCAGGTAACTAGGTCTCCAGGCCCAGTCCTTCCAGGCCCCGCCCCTCCTAGGCCACACCCAGTACTCTCCTCTGGTCAAGCCCTTTCTGGCCACACCCTCCTCAATTTTGAATCAAGCAGCTTTAGGCCCCGCCTTTTTCCTAATACTAGCCCCCCACCCCACCCCCGCATCCTTTGACCTCAGGCCTGACCTTGGGCCTCCTCCCAAACCCTCCCCAAGGCCTACCTCCTAAGGAGAAAGCTCCGCCCAGCGTCTCCCCTGAAGTCCCTTACGGGGGGGCCTAGGCCCCGCCCTTTCAGCTCGGTCCTCCCGGGTCCCAACGCGCGGTTGTAGGCCCCGCCCCCTAAACGCACCTGCAACTCAAAGCGGATGAGGCGCCGGCGCAGCTGCACGTGGACATCCCCGCACAGGCCAAAGTCCCAGGCGGAAAACACCCGGTGGCTGTAGCTGGTCAGAACTCCGGACTCGGCCAACAACGTCTGCTTCAGGCCGGGCACCGAGCTAAGAGATGGGAGACCCGGGAGACAGGGTGTGGCAGGACAATCGGAGCGAGGAGGGGCAAAGAGGGGAAATACACGCTAAGCCTGGGGAGAGAGAGTCAGAGTCCTGGGAGCCACCGACCGAGAGATTCCGACATAGGCCCCGAGGAGATCAGACACCCAACAGAGGTAGAGACCTAGGAGATAGGGATGCAGAGCGAGAGAGACAGAGACCCTGGGGAGACAGAGATGTAGATGGGGGCTGAGACCCCAAAGCGTCAGAGATTCAGAGGAAAAAATTAAATAAGAAAGAGGAAAAGATCTAGAAAGAGGGAGTCGGAGCCTCGGAGGGGAGACACCCAGAGAAGCAGGTGGAGGAAAAAGACTCAGAGAAGTGGGGGTAGGGGGGAGGTGTTAAAGAGACTAAAGAGCCCTGGCCGGTTTGGCTCAGCGGTTGGAGCGTCGGCCTGCGGTCCAGAGAGACCCGGGTTCGGTTCCCACTAAGGGCATGTACCTCGGTTGCAGTTTGTCCCCGGCCCCGGTTGGTCGTGCGGGTGGCAGCCACTCGATGTGTCCCTTCACGTCGATGTTTCTCTCTCTCTCTCTCTTCCTCTCTCTCCCTCCCGCTCTATCTGAACAAAAAAATGGAAAAATGTCCTCGGGTGAGAATAAGAGAAAAAAAAAGAGAGACTAAAGAGAGGGCAGCAAAGACCTGGGGAGGTGGACAGCAGACCAAAGGAAAGGAAAGAAACAGAAAACTGGGCAGAGACGCCTCTCCACCTGCCCTGCCCTGGTGTAGGCCTCCATCACCCCTGGATGCACCACTGCACAGGACTTCCACCTGGTCTTCCACCTGTGCTCTCAGAACCTGCTCTCTGTTCCCGGGCCAGCGGGGCCTTCTTTTGAATGCAGATGAGCTGGGATTCCCTCCCTTCTTGTTTGTCCAGTCTAGGTTCCTTCATAGCATAGCCAGCCAGGGCCCACCCAATCTGGACCCTACTTCTCCAAGTTCAAATCCTGTCCCGCCCCCCATCTCTGCTCCTCCCTCTGGCCTTTCATTTCCCACATCACTCCAAACCTCTGGCCACCAGAGGGCCTTTGCACTCTCAGCTCCCCAATCCTGTTCCCAGGTCCAGTTCCCAGGACCAAAGCCTGTTTTTCTCAATAAAGTTTTATCGGAACACACACACACACCCACTCGCTTGCAGACGGTCTACGGCTGCCTTCGCCCCGCAACTGCAGACTTCAGTTCAGACAGAGCCCATGTAGCCCGCAACGATGAAAATATTTCCTACCTGGTCTTGACTTCTTTTCCTCCCCTATTTTTAGTGATTACATCAAAACTTATATAAAGCCAATGTAAGCATTACATTGAAAGAATTACATGCTAATTCAAAGTAAGCATTAGAAACACTACATTGGATTTTAGTAATTTTTGTAATTTGTCTAAACATTTTCAAAATCAGTTCATTTCTTTTTTTCTCCCTCCCTTCCTTCCTTCCTTTCTCCTTCCTTTCTTCTCTTCCTCTCTCACTTAACTGAAACCTACCAGGTGTTGGAGAAATGGTGTATCATTGGGGTTAATTTTTTTTCTTTATCCTCACCCGAGGACATTTCTGCATTCATCTTCAGATAGAGTGGGAGGGAGAGAGAGAAACATCGATGTGAGAGAGACACACCGACTGGTTGCCACCAACATGACCCGGACTGGGGCCGCGGACAAGCGCAACTGAAGTACATGCCCTTAGCAGGAACCGAATCTGGGACTCTCCGGTCCGACGCCTGTCGCTCTAACCGCTGAGCCAAACCGGCCAGGGCTCAATGGGGTTCATTTTATGTGTCACTCTGGCTAGGCTGTGGTACCCAGACCTTTACTTTGTTGTTGTTGTTAATCCTCACCTGAGGATATTTTTCCATTGATTTTTAGATAGAGTGGAAGGGAATGTGGAGAAGGAGAGAGAGAAACGTCGATGTGAGAGAGACACATCGATGCCTCCCGAAAGACCTGATCGGGGCTGGGAATTGAACCCGAGACACTTCAATTTTCGGTCTGACGCTCTAACTGCTGAGCCAAACAGGCCAGGGCACTTTACTTTTTTTCTTAATCAGAAAAAAAAAAAAAAAAAAAAAAGAACTGCCCTAGCTGAGTAGCTCAGTTGGTTAGAGTGTAGTTCCAATACACCAAGATTTCAGGTTCAATCCCTGGTGGTCAGGGCACATACAAGAAGCAACCAATGAATGCAGAAATAAGGGGAACAAAAAAACCAACGTCTCTCTCTCTCCCTCAAAATCAATTAATAGTTTTTAAAACAAGCTGATCTGCTCTGGCTGAGCAGTGTCAGCACTCGGACTGAAGGGTCTCAGATTCAATTCCCAGTCAAGGGCACATACCTGGGTTGCAGGTTCAACCCCTGGTCTTTATTGGCGTCATTCGGGAGGGCAACTATCGATGTGTCTCTCTCACATCGATATTTCTCTCTCTCTCTCTCTCTCTCTCTCTCTCTCTCTCTTTCTTTCCCTCCCTCCCTCCCTTCTACTCTCGCTAAAAATCAATGGAAAAATATCCTCGCCTGAGGATCAACCAAAAAATTAAAAATACAAATAAGCCCTGGCCGGTTTGGCTCAGCGGTTGGAGCGCTGGCCTGCGGACCAGAGAGTCCCGGGTTCAGTTCCCACTAGGGACACGTACCAAAACAACAACAACAACAACAACAAAACACAAATAAAAGGAACTGGTCCCTCCGCTGTCATCCCATCCCACCTGTTTCCTACGTACTCCTGTGTTTTGCCGGTCAGTTTGTTCTGCCGTCTTTCCTGCCTAGACCAGTGCCTGGCACAGCAGCTGCTAACAGACGTTTGTTGCATGCACGAATGGACAAGCGGTTCGGTTAGCACTTCTCCCTTCCAGAGGAACTGTGATGAACTCGCTTCCTTGTTAATAGCATACCTGCCCCACTAGCCACCGGAAGAGGACACCTCCCATCTCTGTCCCCTGGCCCTGCGCCCTTAGGAAGCATTTTAAACATGGATTTTGACGCAGAAAGAAAGGGATCACAGAGTGAGACTCCGGAATCCTGCCGAGGGGGCTTCGACCACACTGCACCCCCCCGGGTCTGGGGTCTGGGCGTGCGGGGTGTCACTGACCGGCGCAGGATAAGCAGCAGGGATAGGAGGCCAATGACGAAGGTGGAGCACAGGTAGGTGACAGCCAGGCGCGGGCGCGGCGGGTAGAACCCATAGAAGAGAGGAGACCATTCTAAAAATCCCTGCGGAGGTAAGAGCGCAGCGGGGTCACCGTAGGGCTGGGGGGTGGCGATCAGGGCCTGGGGTCAGGGCCCTCAGAGAGGGTCTCCCAGAGGGGCCCCGGGCACTCACCTCTCCCGAGAGCAGGTTGAAGAGCTGGGAGGAGAAGGTAATCAGGCCCTGGGGGTGGGGGTTGTAGGAGCCGCAAGGCGAGGAAGGGCCGGAGCCAGGGGGATCCGTGGGACCCCCGTCCAGCCAGGTGGGCAGCAGCGTCATGCAGACCTTCAGCACCGAGGCCAGCACGTTAAGAAACAGCAGGAAACGCAGTAGCAAGAAGTAGGACTCGGTGCCCACGCCAAACTGGCCTGCAGGGGGCGGCAGACAGGTCCCGGGTCCTTTTTGAATCCTGATCCCGGCCCCTTTCCCCTCAGACCCAGGAGTCCAGGCCCCCAGCCCCTCCTCCCTCAGACCCAGGAGTCCAGGCCCCCAGCCCCTCCCCCCTCAGACCCAGGAGTCCAGGCCCCCAGCCCCTCCTCCCTCAGACCCAGGAGTCCAGGCCCCCAGTCCCTCCTTCAGACCCTGGAATCTGGTCCACCCCAAGATCCCAACCCCAGCCCCACTGCACCCCCAATCCTCTTCAGTGTCCATTCCCAGGGCTTCAAGGTGTGCAAGCCTTCTCGAATCTTCTCCTTGGACCTCCGAAACAGCAGGGCCCAGTAGGCTACTCTGGACCTCGAACCCCGAGCCATTTGGTCCCTGGCGTGGCTCTGCCTGGGAGAACACAGAGTCATAAATATAAAAGGTTCCCAAATGGAAACCACCAACACGTAGCAATGCCCCAACAGTACATTGTGGTGGGCTCCCAACACGGACCCGCTACAAGCAATAAAAAGAAACACGTGGCCCTGGCCGGTCTGGCTCAGCGGTTGAGCGGCCTGCGGACCAGAGAGCCCCGGGTTCGGTTCCCACTAGGGGCACGTACCAAAAAACAAAAACAAAACAAAAAAAAACACGTGATGTTAACTGAGCGAGGGCAGCCAGGCAGAAGGCCTCCACTGCGGGGATCTATTGACAGAAGCCCCAGAGGAAGGGCAGGAGAACCCTGCCCTTCAGGGATGCAGACCCAGGCGGGTCAGCTCTGAAGAGGAGCCGGACGTGATCATGTGTACGTCTGGGAAGTTCTCCTGAGGTGGGGGGGGGGGGGCGACAGGGGAGAGGCACGTGGGGTGCTTTGGGGAGCTACACTGTTGTCTCTCCCCCTAGGTGGGGTTCACCCGGGCTCTCACTATAGAAAACTCTTTGAGTCTGCCCATCATGTTTTCTGCACTTTTCTATAGGCAAATATCAGCATAAAGTAGACATACACCCCCCCCCCCAAAAAAACCCCACAAAATAACAGAAACAGAACGCCCAGCCAGTGTTGCTCAGTTGGTTGGGTGTCATCCCATGCACAGAAAGGAAGCCAGTTTGATTCCCAGTCAGAGCACACGCCTGGGTTGCAGGCTCCATCCCTGGTAGGGGGCACGCAGGAGGCAGGTGATCAATGTCTCTCTCTCTCTCTCTCTCTCTCTCTCTCTCTCTCTCGTTCCCCCCCACTTCCTCTTTCTCTAAAAATCAATTTAAAAAAGGAACAGAGGAAAAAGGAAGGAGGTGTGAGATTGTGCTTTATAATGATAGATAGATGTCTGGTCTTTGTACTTGTCCCTGGGGCAGAGCTCCAGAATCCTGGGAATCTGCTCAGTGTTGAGAACGTTTAAGGTGTCTTGTGTTACTTAGGTGGCTTTTGGAAGGCACCTAAGGGTGGGGTCCGGTGGCCAGGGGAGCCAACCCTGGGATGAGACGGCTGGAATGTTGGCTCCCACACCCCTGTCCTGGGAGGGAAGACCTGGAGTTGACTCGGTCACCAGTGGCCAATGCTTTTTACTCAGTGGTGCCTACACGCGAAGCCTTCGTAAAACCCCAAAGGACGGGCTCACAGGGCTCCGGGCTGGTGAACGCGTGGGGACTGGGCAGAGTGGTGACCTCGGCCCCACCGCCCTCCCCACGCCTTGCCCTCTGCATCTCTCTGCCTGGCTGTTCCCGAGTTATACCCTTTACAACAACCACTGACGCAGTGAGTCACAGGTCTGAGATCTGTGAGCCGCTCCAGCAAATCAAACCCCAGGAGCGGGTCATGGGAACCGCCGGTCTATGGCCAGCCTGTAAGAAGCTCAGGTGACGGCCTCGACTGGCGACTGGTGTCTGAAGCGGGGGCAGTTTTGTGGGACTGAGTCCCCAGGTAGGTGGTGTCAGGGGGAGTTGAGCTGTGTTGGGTCGTGTGGGGAAATTGTCTCACGCACAGTCTGCAGGGGGAGGGAGGAGGGAAAGGAGTAGAGAGCGGCAGGCCTGGGAGAGCAGGACACTAAGCAGAGAGGACATTCAGCACCAGATCTCACGCAGAAACAGCGGGAGGCAGAGGCTGGGCGGGAGAGAGGGCACCGGTGAGAGGAAGAAGTGAGACCCGGCCACGGAAGGACAGGGATCCTTGGAGTCAGAGAAGCGGTACACGCGGGGAAGAGGAGACCCAGAGAGACAGCTCCGAGAGGCAGGGGGAGGTGGAGACAGAGGCCCAAGTGGGAGGTGGGCCTCACCTGTGTGCCCGTCGGGCCTGCATGGGCCAGGGCAGTTCCCGGGAAGGGGGAGGTTCCTGCAGGTCCTTCTCAGCAGCTTCTGCGAGGGTCTGGATGTTCCTCTCTCCGTCCTCATCTTCCTCCAGCGTCCCCCAGGGCAGCACCCCAGGGCCTCGGTACCGGAGGGAAGCGGCGCTGGGGAGTTGATTCAGCACCGAGGACAGCGATGGGCCTGGGCAGGAGGGCAGGGGGCTGGGAGAACAGGAGTCCAGGCCCCCAGCCCCTCCTCCCTCAGACCCAGGGGTCCAGGCCCCAGCCCCTCCTCCCTCGGACCCAGGGGTCCAGGCCCCAGCCCCTCCTCCCTCAGACCCAGGGGTCCAGGCCCCCAGCCCCTCCTCCCTCGGACCCAGGAGTCCAGGCCCCCAGCCCCTCCTCCCTCAGACCCAGGAGTCCAGGCCCCCAGCCCTCCTCCCTCAGACCCAGGGGTCCAGGCCCCAGCCCCTCCTCCCTCAGACCCAGGGGTCCAGGCTCCCAGCCCTCCTCCCTCAGACCCAGGGGTCCAGGCCCCCAGCCCCTCCTCCCTCAGACCCAGGAGTCCAGGCCCCCAGCCCCTCCTCCCTCAGACCCAGGGGTCCAGGCCCCCAGCCCCTCCTCCCTCAGACCCAGGGGTCCAGGCCCCCAGCCCCTCCTCCCTCAGACCCAGGAGTCCAGGCCCCCAGCCCTCCTCCCTCAGACCCAGGGGTCCAGGCCCCCAGCCCTGCGTCCTCAGACCCAGGAATCAAGCACCTGGCCCCTCCTCCCTCCGTTCCAGTTTGCACCAGCCAGGCCCCTCCTACTCCAGGCCCCGGGAGTCCAGTCTTCAACTTCCTTTTCCCTTTTATTCAGGAGTATGGGACGTGGTCCCTCTCACTTTTCAGATACCAAGAGTTCTAGCCCCTACCCCAGACTCCTCCCCGGGACCCCGGATTCCCAACCTCAGGTTCCCTTCTCGTCTAGAAGCATAGGAATTGAAACCCCTCCCCCTCCTGCCCCCCACCCCCATTTTCCACTTCCATGGGGTCTTCTGCCAGCCCAAGGGGTTTGACCTGGCCCCCACCTGCTCTGGCTCCCCATGGTGCTGGCCACCCTCCGGCGGAGCCCCAGACCTCGGGTTCCCACGCAGGGCTGTCTTCCATGGCCCCAGGAGCAGTTGTTTCCGTGTCCAGAGGGCAAAAACCCAGGGGGAGGGCGGGGCTGGGGCAGGCCGTACCTGGGCACAGGTGTCTGGGAGGGAATAGTGTGCACTTCCTATAACCTGTCAGGGCTACTGCTCCCAAAGGTCTGCTGGGAACTGAAGTCCACAGGTGCTCGTCAGGACCCTGGGGACGGGGGCAGGGCACAGCACAGGGGTTGGGTGGCCCACCCCCCCACATGGGTCGCCCACCCAGACACTGCACACACACGGTCTGTGCACACTTTATTGGGAGAGCCGCACACTGATGCCATCCTATGCCGCAGGATGACAGGAGCACTGGGACCCTGAGGTGGCTCAGATGGGATCCACAGGAACGGTGGTCTCCAGGCCTGCTCACCGGTGCCTCGGTTTCCCCTTTGTGAAGTGGAAGGTTAGGTTCCCTCCTAGGCCTGAGACACTGGCGTGATGATGTAAAAACGGGAAAGCCACAGGGAGAGGTTTCCACACCCGGAGCGCCTCCTTCCACTGCGGAATGGAGGGGGGACTGCGCCTCAGGCCCCTGCTGCTTGGGGGTCCAGCTCTGGAAACCCGGTAGCCCCACAGGGAACAAAGGAGTCTTGTCTGGACAGCGCTTTGCATGTTGCAGGAGGAAAGGAGCTCGGGAGCCAGGGGGAGCCGGGCTGTGAGGCGGGGTGCTGAGGGACGCGGGACCCTCCAGGCCCCAGGCCCCGAGCCAGAGCCACACGGGGGACTCAGAAAGGAGACGCAGCCTGGCTCACGGAATTCCCAGGCAGGAGCTTGGCGGCCGGCCGGCCGGGCAGAGGGAGAGCTGGCAGCTCACTCCTCCCGGAGCTTTTCTGGGGCAACGCCGGCAGCCTGGGCTGCTGCCTTCCGCCGGCTGGCGCCGCCCCCGCCCAGAACCAGCCCCAGGCCCAGGGCCAGCAGGGCCAGGGCGTGGATGCAGAAGTAGACGGAGGCCCAGTAGCGGAGGGTGTCGCCCATGGAGAGCAGCACAAAGCCCATGCACATGTAGTCATAGGCCCGCATCTTCAGGAACCAGTGCACCCAGTCCCAGGCCTGCTGGCCGCCCGGGCCCAGCCGCCACCGCAGCGCCGACTCCAGCCGGCCCTCCGCGGCCAGGCACAGCGGGATGGTCAGGAAGCTTAGGTAGTAGCCAGGGTGGAGGCCGTGCCAGTAGGCACTCAGCAGCATGGTCCAGGCGCTCCTGCAGGGGGGAGGGCGTCAGGACCCAGGAGCCCAGGCCCCAGCCCCTCCTCCCTCAGACCCAGGTCTCCACTCTTTTCAGGAGCCCAGTTGACCCCCCTCAGCACCCAGGCACCCAACCTCCCATCCATGTCCTCTGCCCACGGCATCAACATTTCTGTCCGATACTCCCTGTCCTGTCATAAATCCCCTCATGACAGAACAGTGCTGACCACCCCAGCCTCGGGGGAGTAGGGTCCATGAAAGGTCGATTTTTTTTCCTGCTGCCATAAGGAGAAACCTCTTCCTGTCTTTTCTCAAGCCATGTTCTTGAAAAACTTAGTGTTTGAGAATATTTTCCTTGTTTTTTTTGGGGGATGTACATGTAAATCTTTGAAAAGGCAAAATAGCACTGGCTGATGTGGCTCAGTTGGTTGAGCACTGTCCCATGCACCAAAAGGTCACTGGTTCGATTCCGTCAGGGCACATCCCCAGGTGTGGGCTCGATCCCCTCTGGGGGGTGGGCAGGGGGCAGCCGACTGATGTTTCTCACATCAATGTTCCTCTCGCCCTCTCCCCTCCTCTCTCTAAAACCAATAAAAACGTACTGAAGAAAGAAAAGGCAAAATAAGGGTCTGGAAAGCTTTGCTGTCTTTCTAGATGGAAAGCTAAGCACCGTTGGAGCTTGCGTGCAGTCATCCTGCCACTGTGGGGTTCATCCTGGGCCCCCGCCCCGTAATGCCTATCAGAGAGATAGGAGTTTATGCTTCCAATAAAGACGTTAATACAGGGGCTCCCCCAAATGCCGGTGGGTTTGGGATACATGTGAGAGGAGGCACTTCCTTGAGGACAAGTTAGGGTTTTTCCTGAGGGCACACTGTGTGAAGGACTGTAATGGGGGGCGTGTAAGAAGGGTGAGATTTCTTTCCGTCTTGGGAACCTCGTTAGTGGGTAGCTTGTGACGTGCAGGGCAATCTGCTTTCATAGGTATTTAGTAACAGAACTCTGCTTGAGCCCTGGCTGGGTAGCTCAGCTGGTTAGCGTGTCGTCCCAATACGTCAAGGTTGCAGGTTTGATCCCCAGTCAGGGCACATACAAGAGTCAACTAATGAATGCACCATTAGGTGGAACAGCAAATAGATGTTTCTCCCTCTCTCTTCCTCCTTTCTTCTCTCTCTAAAAAAAATAACTCGGTTAAAAAATTGATGTTTCTTTCTTGTTCTCAAATCAATAAAAAAAAGACAAAATCTTTAAAAACATAAAAATGAAAGAAAAAATAAGGAAAAACAAAGGAAATCTAACTGAATTGTGTTCTTTCTTTCCTACTGATGATGGAGAGAGAATTCTCTGGGTTGGCAGGATTTAAAGATGGTTTTCCCATGGGGGTGGGTAGGGGACAGGACAGGATATCAAACTTGTCCTCCATAAGATATGCTTCCTTTTCTGCTCCAAAAACTCGGCTGTGCTCCTTTGAACCCAGCCAGCTGGCTTTCACCCCCACCCTCGTCATGCTGTGGTCAGACTGCTGCCTTCCATCATGCCCCACCTGCCGTCATTGACCGAGCTCCTGCACGCATCCCGCGCACTCAACACAAACGATCCCTCCCTCCTCCTTGAAACGTTTGGTTGCCTTGGCTCCCTCCCGGAATGGACACTTCCCTGACCTCCGGTCTCATGGCTGTCTTTGCTCTCCACACCCCCCCCCCCCCCGTCCCTGGTCCACACCAGGCTTTCTCAGTCTCAGCACAATTCACATTTGGGGCTGGGTGGTTGTCGCGGGACCGTCCTGTGCACACCCTACAATGCTGAGCAGCATCCTGGCCTCTGCCCACTAGACAGCAGGAGCACCTCTCTGCCACAACAAACATCCCCACACAAATGGCCAAATGCACCGAGGGCAGCACCACGGCCCTGGCCGAGAGCCCCCGGGTTAGACACTGGAGGGCTGCAGGCTTCGGCCTGATGCTCAGCCCCCAGATGTGATGTCTCTTGTACCTGAGGACACTCACGTGCCCACAACCACAGCACTGCCTATCCAGTAACCCCAGCTGGAAACCGAACAGCCACCTCACAGTTAGTCCAAGGCTCACTCCTGAAACTCCCTTTTCGAGAGGTGGCCCTGCTGTGCCCTCAGTCACTTGTGCCCATCACTCGGGTATTGTGTTTCATTTCCTCTCTTTTGCATGCCCCACATCCAGTCCATGCCAAGCCCGAGTCCAACTCTCAAGTCCACCCACTTTCAACCTGTTCTCTATGCCAGCACACCAGTCTCCCACCTGGCCAGCCTCCAAGGCCTCCGAACTCCTTTCCTGGCTTCCCTCCTGCTGCCTACCCCCACCTCTACTCCATCCCCCACACAGGGCCAGAGTGGTCTTTAGATCGAAAATTGGATCATGCACCTAAGGTAAGTCTATCTCCAGAACTCCCACTGTTACCCTAGACAGTCAGCTGGAGTGTGGGAAAGTCTCCTCCAGCGGCCAAGAAGGAGTAGGGGGAGGTTCTTATACCAAGCAGGCCAAAAGCTAGAAAGATGAATGGACAGGACCCCAGCACACCAAAAGCCAGCAAAATAATTGGGTAGGAAAAAAAAAAAAAGCACTCCCTTCCCTATCCCTATGACAACTGCGGGAACGGGAGATGGTCTTTGAGACGGGGGTCCACCATTCTCCCGGGTTATGTGGCACCTGAATAAACCTCTTTCCTCTTGCACCAGTAGCTGACTCATGAGTTTGGCTTTTGTTGCAGTAAGCAGCGGAATCTGCGTGTTTTTGTTTTGTTACACCATCACTAATGGCTTCACTTTGAGAAAGTTTTGTTGGGTATCCTGATTTCATCTGGTGGCTCCAGGAAGGCTGAATGACATTGAGGAGGTTACCTAACCTATCAGAGCCTGACTCTCCTTATCTTTAAATGGGGGTAACAGTTCCTACTTCCGAAGGTTTGAAAGATGATGTATGGTACAAAGTCTCCACTCAAGAAATATCAGATGAGTGAAGAATAATAGAAACTAATATATAGCTAACACTCACCTGCCAGGCCTCACATGAAGTACCTTTCATACTTTATATCACTCAATGCTCACATCAACCTATGAAATAGGTAACAGCATTACCCCCATGTATCAGAGGAAACAGAACTCACTGCTCAAGGTTTCTTAGTAATTGCTGGGGCTGAGATTCTGGAAAATTTGGGTATTGAGTCCAGAGAACTCAGGGTACTGCTTCTGTCTGCTGGACTTGACAGTAGAAGCGGAGGCCCAAAGACAGGGAAAGATTCACCCCAGAGTAATGCGATCAGCAGAAGCGCAAAAGATTTAAGAAACAACAACTCCCATGACTCTCAGGGGTGGAGCCCCAGCCAGATAGCTTCAGGCTGCCCCAAGTGCTGCTGGGAGATGTAGTTCCGTTCTGTCCAGGACTGGCAGGCTCACCTGAGGACGTAGGAGTGGGTGGGCGCGCTCTTGTAGACGTACTGCGCCAGCCACCACTGCACCGTCATGTTCCAGTACCGCATGCCCTCCCGCACCCGCACGCAGAAGTCTGTGCGGTAGCAGTCGATGTTGCGGACGGTCTCATAGTCGTACTCCAGGGCAGCGGCCTCCTCCGGACTGGGGGTTGGAGGATGAGGGTGGGGGAGACATGCAACTCAGCCAGGCCCCCTCCCGATGCCTGCTACTGTCCCAGCCCCGATGCTATGGAGGGGATCGTGGGCAATCGACAGCGCCCTGGCTGTCACCCTGGCTAGGGCAACAGGGGAAGACAGCCCAGAAGGAGACTTTGGGGGAGAAAGGTAGTGGTGGGGCACACAGTTCACCAACAATGGGGTTCTCTTGGCAACGGGGCCGAGAAAAACTTGGAAGGGCTATGGTTGCTAAGCTATTAGTCCTTAGCGACCTGACCCTTCATTCGTCTCTGATGCTAGGGAAAGGCCATTCCTCAGCGACCAAGCTCAGTGTATTCAGAGAAGCCTCCAAGTGCTGCCTCCTCTGAGTTGCCGGACACTGTGGTTGCTAGGGAAGTAGCATCCTTAACCCCGAGATGGTCCGTGGTTGCTAGGCAGATATTTTTAGCCTGGATGGTCTCTGTTGCCAGGGAAAGGGCATTCCTTAGCAACAAGATCTGGGATGTTTAGAAAAGGTTCCTGAAAGGGCCTCTGGCTACTGGTTCTTAGGATTGTTCAAGAAGCATCATTCCCAGCAATATGGTAGTTCCTGGGTTACTGGTGCCAACACCCCCATCAGCGGTGGGGACGTCCTTGGTCCTCCTGAATGCCTGGTGGCTTCTGATAATGGGAGGGGAGCCATTCACTTAGAGTGGGGCTAGCAGGGTTAGAAAAGCCTTCAGCCCCCACCTGACATTTCCTAGCAACTGGAGGTCCACCCATGGTTAGTAGAGCAGTGGAAATAAATTCGCATGGGGGTGCCACCTCCCCCACAACAGAATGGCAGTTTGTGTCCACTAGGGTATGGCCCCACGCAATCAAGGAATATTTCATAATTTACATCCCTGGCAGAGGATGCTTGTGGTTGCTAGGAACAGAGAGGCAGACTGTTCACAGTTGCTAAGGGCACTGTTTCCCTAGTAACACAGGAGCAACACTTCCTTAGCAACAAGAGAGCTCAGTTACCAGAAGGGTGACTTACCTAGCAGTGAAAGAGCTAGGGGTGGGTAGCATTACTATGAATGATGTCAAACCACCATTACCAGGGGGATCAGCTTCCTCAGCAACATAGGAAGACAACCTGTGTTTGCTAGGGGTGGTGTCCCCTCTGCTAGAGGCCCATGCAGTTAGGGATGCCATTTCCTTAGAAACAGAGGACAACTGCAGGCTATGTGACAACATCCCCCTGCAGGGAACGCTGGCTCCTAGCAGCAAAGGGGCCACATGGTGCCATTTTCATAGCAACAAAGAACAACCCTTTTGGCCATAGTTGCTAGGGAACCTGCTTCCCTAGCAAACAGGGGTGGTTCAGTTGCTAGGGAACCGTTTCCCTAGCAACAAAGGGCAACACATCATTACCCAACGATGGCATCCAGAGCAACCAGGAACACTCAGATTATTGGGGGGGGGTGGCATTTCCTTGGCAACAGAGGGGCGGCACATGGTTGCTGGGATACCACCTTCCTTTTCCTAGCAACAGAGAGCAATTGCCATCCCATGGGGTGATAAGCGCTAGCAACAAGGGACAATCCGTAGGTATCAGAAGAGTTTCCTTAGGGGAAGGCGGGCTGTGGTGGCCCAAGGGCGACACTGCGCCAACAACAGGTGGTGGGACCTGCCCTCTGATCCCCACTATCCTCCCTGCTAGGGGAAGGGCCAACCCGAGGTGGTGGGGCCTGCCAGGTCTTGGGTCACCTCCCTCCCGCCGCCTGACCTGCTGGGGGGTGGGCATTGGAGGGTGGGGCCGCCCCCGGCCCGAGCTTTGGCAGCCACGGGGTAGGCCCCGAAGCCCGCGGCAATGCAGCCACACTCGGCTGCAATCCAGGCCACGTAGAAGCGCATGCGGAAGGCGAAGAAGACGGGGATCATGTAGAAGAGGCGGGCGGGCAGCGGGCGGGCGTAGAAGGCGTCCTCGCGCACGGCCTCCAGCGGGAAGAGGTGCGAGGACAGCAGGAAGAGCAGCCCAAAGAGCGGGGCCGGCCAGGCGCGGCGCAGCAGGGGCCGCAGGCTGGGCACGGCGCCCGGGAACGGCTGCTCCAGCCAGTCCAGGTACGTGCGGTAGCGGAAGAAGGGGCCTGTGGCGGGAGGGGCGGGGATATATGTCAGAGACTGGACCCTGGGACTCGGCAGGGACCAGGGACCAAGGACTAAGGGCAGGGCTGGAGTCTGGGGGGATGGGCGAGCGGCCCCGAGGCTCTGATACAAATGGAGTCAGACAGACAGGGGAGCCAGGAGGCCTCTGGGTTTTGCTCTCCCTGCCAGGAAACTCCTACCGTGAGCTATTCCACAAAGACCCCTTGGCTGCTCAGCAGGGCAGGGACCACAGAGGGGCGATGATGGAAAGTGGGGAGACTGTTTCAGATAAAGTGATGGCCTGGCTTATGGATGGACGGAGCAGTGGGGATTAACAGAAGTGACAGGTGTCAGGAGCCTCACATGTCACAAAAGGCCATATAGGGTGTGTTTCATTCTAAAATGTTCACAGTAAGCCAAACTACACAGCTAGAAAGTTAATCAGTGGTTTCCAGGGCCTGGGGCTGGTTGGAGGTTTGGGGGATTGCTGGCTGAAGGGTGCAGAGTTCCTTTCTGGGGTGATGAAACTGTTCTACAACTATGTGGTGGGGATGGTTGCACAACTCCACCAATGCACTAAACACCAGCGCATGGGAAGTGGTTATAAGTGAGAAAAGATGTCAATTGCAGCTAAATAAAGTTACCATGAAAAAGAAAGCCTTGTATGAGGTCAGCATTCACGACAAATATTTTCAGAAACTGAAATGCGATCATAGCTGTGAATGTTTGCTCCCTGGGTAGATGGAGCATCAAGTCTGCAGACTTTTCTCCTTTATCCCCTGATGTTCCTGCAAAGCTACAAGGAACCACAGGCCGACAACAGTCCGTCTCTCGTCTCTCTCCGGGAGGAGCCCTGGTCCAGTGGGAGGGTCAGACACAGCCAGCCAGCCCGCCCTCGCCCTCCCTCAGAGCAGCAGATGCTGGAATGGAGACAAGGGAGAGGGAGGCGGGGAGAGGCAGGCCAGGGAGAGGCGCACTCACCGGTCATGATTCCCACGTAGCAGTAGCTGTAGCTGAGTGTCTCCATCAGAGAGGGGACGTCGGGCAGCAGCCCCAAGCTGGGTCCCTTGCTGAAGCCCGAGGCCATTTCCTTCCTCTGGGCCAGGTGCAGGTCCTGCACCTCACTAGCCAGACTCACCAGCTGGGGGGAAGGGGTGTGGGCAGGGGACAGGTCAGACCTCATGCTCCCACACACCATAAGCTACCCTTCTCCATAGTGGAGGGATGCTGGGGTGCAGCTAGGAGCAGAATTCTGCTATTGGGGAGTAGTAATGGCATCTTAGTGTCTCAGTGGATAGCAGGCGTTCCCCGGGCTCACTCCTGGGCCTGCCTGGCTTCTTTCTTCATGTTCCCTCCTTCTGTGTTCTCCTGCCATCGGGGGCTTTAGACACTCCCCTACCCTCACCTCATGACTCCTAAACTCTACCCCTGGCTGGGACTTCTCTCCTCCATTCTATTCATCAAGTTGCCTCTTACCAATACTCTGGGCACATGCGTAGTGGAACCAGGTGCTACCCACTCCCTAACCCAGATCTCCCCTCAGGTAATGGCAGTGGCACCACCATCCAATTAATTGCTCAGGCCGGAGATGTCCTTGCTCCCCAGATCTATTCCCTCAGGTCTCTCGAGCCCGAGCCCCAACTCTTTTGTTTTGCCCCCACTGTGGGGCTGAATATGCTCAGCCCACCCTGCCAGGTCTGCTCGCTACTCTTCTCCGCACAGACCCAAGGCCCGCCCGGCATCAGCAGGCCTCCTGTCTTTCAGCTTCCCCCTGTTCCGTCTACCCAGAGCCCGGGGTGGAGGTGGAGGAAGGCACGACTGAGAGCTGGGGTTTTATTCCCTTCTAAGACCCCAGTGGGCTGGCGTGACCCCAGGTGAGTCTCAGGGTGGGTGCCTCTATAGAGGCCTCGGTCCAGGCTCCTCTGCCTGCCCCTCCTCTCATCCCCTGGGGCTCCTCCTGAACTGCTGGTCCAGGATTCCTGTGATGTCCCCCTGGCTCCTCCACATCTTGCCCACCCCCACTGCAAATAACTCCTCAAGTTATCTTAAATGCAGTATTTCCCGTTGGGACTCAACTGACCGACCTTCCGACATCCTGATCGAGCTGCCACCACTGTTTGCCAGCTGGACCTCACCCCACCTTGCCCTTCCTGCTGTAATCTTCTCCAAGCACCCAGAGCGAGTATTTCTAAACATATAAATTTGTCGTGGCCGGGTTGGTCAGTTGGTTAGAGTGTCGTCCCTATACACGAAGGTTGTGGTTGGATCCCCGGTTAGGGTACATACAAGAATCAACCAATGAATGCATAAATAAGTGGAACAACAAATCTATGTTTCTCTCTTTCTCTCTCTCCCTTCTTCTCTTTCTAAAATTCAATCAATACATTTTTTAAAAACCTCCAAATTTGGTCACATTACCCCTTCTGGCAACAGACCAAAACCCTCTTCCAAGGGATCTGGGGCCCCCACAGAAAGAAGTCCAAACTCCTGGTGCTAGCCAACAAGGCCCTGCAAGGCGTGGTCCCTGCTGCTGCTCCTTCCTTCTCTCACCAGAGCACAGCTGGGAGTCAGCTGCTCCCTCCACACGCCTGCCCTTGCATCCCGAAACTCTTCTGGCTAGGCAATGCCTGCCTGTCCCAATCTCCCATCCTGAAGAGACCTGGCTCGCGTGCCTGTTGTGCTCCCTGATATGTCGTTGGAGCCCAGTGCACCACAGGAACCCACGACTTTTTGGTCTGGGATGGGGTCTGGGAATCTGTTTTCACCCATCTTCCCAGGTGTCCTTAGATAAGGGCCTTCTCCCCAAAGGCGGTCTTCCTCTTTTGCAACATGGCTCCTCACCCCAAGGAAGAGTGGAGAGGTGAAGTCTCACCTCAGGGTGCGTGGGAGAGGGGGTAAAATTGGGGGTTAACTGGCACAGGGGAGGATGGAGGGGAGTCTGACCTTCAGTGTCAGCAGCAGCTGGACAGCATTGGTGAAGGGCGTGGGAGTGGGCAGGCCCAGCAGGCTGAGGGCTCGGAAGAACAGGAGGTAGGAGAAAGTCCAGGCTAGGGCCAGGGCGTGGCAGGAGCTGAGGCAGAGGCAGGAGGCGGTTGTGCTGGCTCCCGGGCCTGGCCTCCACCTCCCCAGGTTCTAGCTACAAATCCTCCCCTACCTCCCCACCTTCAGAGACAGACAATGGGGGTTGCGGGTGGGGGCAGAATGAGCAAGATTGAGACAGCTGGAGAAGAGGCAGAGCCACATACAAATGAGCAGTAACAGAGAAAAGAAAATGAGGAGAGGTTTAAGAGAGCTTCAGGGTGAATACCCTTCAATTCACCCTTTACAAGGAGGAAGGGGGAGAGAGGTATGGAAGGAGAGGGACTATGAAGTGACTGTCAGCAGAGAAGTCATGCCTTCCTCTCCTGAACTCATGACATGGATGTAGAGGACACAAACACACAGGGGCAAGACCCAGAAAGGCAGGAGAGAAAAAAAACAGACAAATGACAGAAAGAAACAAGAGATGTCCACAGAGTGAGCGACGCAAAAACCAAGGAAGATTCAGAGAAAACAGGTTGCTTCCTCTCCCCTCTCCCTTCTCCCCCACCCCATCCTCACCAGGGCTGGGCCTGAATGAGGGCCCAGGTCCCAAGGATGGTGATCAGAGAATGCAAAGTGTGGGGGCCACAGGTGAACAAGGTGAGCCCCAGGCCCACAGCTGCGGCCCCCCATCTCTTCAGCCCAGGTCCTGCAGAGAAGAGACAGCATAAGCCTGGAATGCTCCAGCCTCCACCACACACCCTGCTCCCCCCTCCTTATTTTCCACTGGGGAGGGAACCTGACTCACCAGCTTTCTTAAAGAGGAAGCCGATGGGGATGGAGATAAGAAGAACCACTAGATACGTCCATTCTTCGGGCGACATGGTCTGAGGGAGGGACAGAGGTACAGAGTGAGAACCCAGGAATTGGGACCCCTGAGCTCTCCCCCTTGGAGGATTCAGGAATCTGCTCCTTGGTCCTCAGCTGTCGAGGGCTGTGGAGACCTACCCTCAGCTCCTCTCCTTTGAGAACATAAGAATCCAGACTTCCAGGCCCCTCCTCCTTCAAGAAGAGGATTCCACCCCCAGACTCCCTCTTTTAAGAACCCAGGCCTCCAGCCCTCTTCTCCTTTGAGAACCCAGGAGGCCAGACCTCCGGCCCCTCCTCCTCCGAGGATCGAGGAAGCCGGGCCTTCTCTTCTGGCCCCCCGGACTTCCCCTCCCGGCACGCAGGTCCCCAGACCCCCAGCCCTTCTTCCAGAGGACTCAGGGACGCCCAGGCCTCCAGCCTACGCCTCTTTCGGAGCCCTAGACCCCTCTCCTGCCTACGACCGGAGGGCGGGCGCCACAGGTTCCCTCCTCAGCCCTACTCCGGCTGCGTGCGCCCAGCGCGGTCAGGTCCGCCCCGCGAAGCCACAGGCGGTTACGACACTCGAGGTCAGCCGCGCTCCGGCGCCGCCCCGTCCCCGTCCCCGCCGAAACGCAGCGCCCCACCGCGCCCCCACCCCGGCCCACCTGGGCCCGGCTCCGCGCCGCCCGCCGGGCAAGAGGCGGCCGAGTAGTCCCGGCCCGCAATCCACCCCGGGCCGGCCACGCCTCCTCGCCCCGCGCGCCCCCGCCTCTCCCGGGAGCCGGCCGGGCTGCTGGATCTGGGGCTGGGTGCGCGGCGCCCGTCAGGCTAGGGCTGGGCAGTGAAGGAGCTGGCGCCGAGCACCGGGAGCACGCGTCCCCGGCTGGACCGGGACCCCGATCCACGGAGCCCGAATACACAACGAGGCGGGGCTTAGTGCTCGGGAAGAGGCGGGGCCTCCGCTTCGGGTTCCTTCAGGCCGAGTCGGGAGGCAGCTTGGAGGCGGGGCTACGAGCTTCGGTGTGCTTCGGGTATGGTCGAGTACTGAAGGTCTGTGTTCGGAAGTAGGCGGGGCCACAGCTTCGGACGGAGGTGGGCGGGGCTGACCTGGGTCTGCTGATAGGCGGAGTCTCACGCTTAGGAAGGAGGCGGGGCCACAGACACAGACTACAGGAAAGGGGCGGTGATCAGGACCTTCCCAAGGGCCGGGCCGACGGAGTCCAGCTGGAAAGGGGCGGGGCCCCGGGGTGCGTCAGCCAAGGGGGCGGGGTCACCGTAACCCGCCTCAGGTTCGAAGTCTCGGAACCAAATCGGCGGGTAGAGGTGTGTTCCGGGGGGCGGGGTTAAGGTGTGTTGCTTCAGGGGCAAGGCGGGGCTACGGCCTGAAGGGCGGCCCCAGACTTCCCGCTCGCTGAGGTGGCGGCGTGACGAAACCGACGCAGGGGTCCGCGTGGGGTAGTGTGGAGGAGCAGCGCGCGGAGCGCTAGCAGGGGTGGTCCGGCCGGGACTGCCAGGCGGTGGTCACGAGGTGACCCGCTGCTTCTGCCGGAGGAAGGCGACACGTTCTGAAGGGGAGCGGGGAGGCGGCCCGCGCGCCCACGAGTGGGGTGAGCCCGCCCGAGCGGAGACGAACGACGGGTGCCCAGGGGGCGGGGCCTCCGGCCGCGGGGTTCGGTCGAGGGGCGGGGACTCCCCCACAGGGGGAGCGTGTGCGGCACGAGGGGGCGGGGCCTCAGGCTGCGGGCGGACGGGAGCCGAGGACGCCCGACCACCGAACTGCTTCCGTTCGGAGCGGGCGGGGCTCCCCTTTCGGTCCGCCGAGAACTCCCGAACGCGGGAAAGGGGAGGGGCCCCCGTGCTGTGGCCGGAGCCGAGTGCCGAGCAACCCGAGCTGGGCGTGGCCTCGGCACGTCCCGGCACCTGACGGGAACGCCCGAAGGGACACGCCCGCTCCGCGAGAGGGCAGCGCAGACCGCCCGAGGGGGCGTGGCCCCGCGCGCAGGCTTCTCTCAGAGGCGCGTGGGCGCGATGGCACGCTGGCGGCGCGACAGTGCTGGCCCAGACCTGACTCCGGCGGTTCGGCGGGGGGCGGGGCCTCGTCTCCCGCGGCCCCGGGGCCTGGCGGGATCGCCCGGGGGCGGGGCCTGGCCGTCCGGCGCGGCAGGTGGCGAACCGCGGGTCGAGGGAGGCTCCGCCCCCAGAGGCCCAGGGGCGGCGCTAGGCCGAGACCCCCAGGGCGGTGGGAGCGCGCCGGCGGCTCCGTCGGTGACCGCGGTGTTCCGGCTCCCGCAGGAGGATGCTGGTGGTGGAGGTGGCGAACGGCCGCTCCCTGGTGTGGGGCGCCGAGGCGGTGCAGGCGCTGCGGGAGCGCCTGGGTGTAGGGGGCCGCACGGTGGGCGCCTTGCCCCGCGGGCCCCGCCAGAACTCGCGCCTGGGCCTCCCGCTGCTGCTGATGCCCGAGGAGGCGCGGCTCCTGGCCGAGATCGGTGCCGTGACCCTGGTCAGCGCCCCGCGCCCGGATCCCCGCCAACACAGCCTGGTAAGGGGGCGGGAGAAGAGGCGGACTGGCAGCCCTGGATTCTGGGATAATTTGGGAGTTGGGAGACTGAGATCTCTGGGTTCGGGGCCTGAAGTTGGGAGGGGTTAGGGGCTCAGGATTCCTGGCTTCCTAGGGGAGGGCATACCTGCATCCTAGGTTCCAGCTGAGTTTACTTCTCAGGCTCTGGCATCCTTCAAGCGCCAGCAAGAGCAGGACTTCCAGGAGCAAAGCGCCCTGGCTGCTGAGACCCGTGAGACCCGTCGTCAGGAGCTCCTAGAGAAGATTGCCGAGGGCCAGGCTGCCAAGAAGCAGAAGCTGGAACAGGATTCAGGGACCAGTGAGAGCCAGGGGGCCAATGGGAACCAAGCAGCCGAAGAAAATGAGACCAGAGCAAGCCAGGCTTCTGGAGAGCAGGAGGAAGCAGGTGAGGGCTGGAGTTGGAATCCAAGGACCAGGAGAAGCAGTGATCTTTGGGGAATTTAGGCTGAGACTCTAGGGTTTGGGTCTTCTTTGGGGACGGGAAGACCTTGCGTCTTGGATTCACCAAACTCTTGGGTTCACCTCCTCCAGGCTCCTCCTCTTCCCAACCAGGGCCTTCAGATGGGGTGGCCCTCTTGCCTAGGTCTGCTCTGCTCGTTCAGCTAGCCACTGCTAGGCCTCGACCCATCAAGGCTAGGCCCCTGGACTGGCGTGTCCAGTCCAAGGACTGGCCCCACGCTGGCCGTCCAGCCCACGAGCTGCGCTACAGCATCTACAGAGACCTGTGGGAGCGAGGCTTCTTCCTCAGTGCCGCTGGCAAGTTCGGTGGCGACTTCCTGGTTTATCCTGGTGAGTTCCGGTTGGGACATCTGGTTGCTGCCCCTTCTTCACAGTCCCACCACATTCTGCATTTTTCCTTTTTGTCTCATTTTCTCAGCTTCTGAAACACACGGAAGGACAGGAAACACTTGGGAACCCAAGCTTATTTGGAAGGCAGTATAGTACATTTTATTAATACTTCTTTTCATATAGAAGTTTCACTTAGAAATACTTAGATATGAATACCAAACATATAAGAAATATTCATTGCAGTATTCCTTACAGTATTTGAAAGTTAGATAACAACCAGAATGATGATTAATGGGTTAGTGGTTAAACATCACTGTTAGCTATCAGATTGATGTAGGTCCATGTACATTTATTTTAATAATGACCAAAAGGGCCTGACCGATGTGGCTCAGTTGGTTGGGCGTCTTCCTGTGCACCGTAAGGTTGACGGTTCAATTCCCGGTCAGGACAAATGCCCAGGTTGCAGGTTCAGTCCCCGGTCGGGGTCATGAGGGAGGCAAGTGATCAATCTTTCTTTCTTACATTGAAATTTTTCTCTCTCCCTTTCCCTCCCTCTCTCTCTCAAATCTCTCTCTCTCTCTCTCTCACACACACACACACGTTTGATTTTAAATGACTAAAGGTAGAAAAAAAACAATAGCTTGTACAAAGTATATGTAGTAAAAAGTAAATCATATTTTATATTGTTATGCAATTATATACACATTTAAGTAGCCTTAAAAATTGTGGCTCTAGTGAAAGAATATGAAAACCTAGAGTAAAATGGAGTACTAAGTAGACTAAGAGAATCCTATCAAGAAAGTAAAAAAGGCATGAAAGGATGTACTCCAGCCAACTACAGTGGTTAACGCTGGAAGGGAATTTGCATCAGGTGTAGGTAAAGGGACTTTTGATGAATCAGTTAATTTTTGAATTTGTAGTAAGAGTGCCTTTATTGTGTAACTAAAAGGTTAAAAACATAGCCCTGGCTGGTTTGGCCCAGTGGTTGGAGCATTGGCCCCCAGACCAAAGGGTCACGAGTTCGATTCAAGGGCATGTACCTCAGATTTGGTTCTGTCCCTGGCCCTGGTCAGGGTTGTGTGTGAGGCAGCCAATTGATGTGTCTCTCTCATGCCGATGTTTCTCTCTCTCTCCAACTCTATCTGAAGATAAATGGAAAAATATCCTCAGGTGAGCATTAAAAAAAAAAAGGTTGCCCTGGTCGGGTTGCTAAGTGGTTAGAGCATTGGCTTGCAAACCAATGAGTCTCAGGTTTGATTCTGGTCAAGGGCATGTACCTCAGTTGCGATTCGTCCCCGGCCCTGGTGGGGGTCGTGTGGGAGGCAGCCACTCAATGTGTCCCTTTCACGTCGATGTTTCTCTCTCTCTGTCTCTTCCTCTCTCTGCCTCCCACTCTATCTGAATAAAAATGGAAAAATGTCCTCGGGTGAGGATAAAAAAAAAAAAGTTAAAAACATAAATCTGCAGAAAACCCTTTGTTTCCCCAAGAATGTGAAAAGATAGAACTATAGCTATTAATTGGAGACTGTCCACTAAGTCTTTTCTCTCTCTCCCTTCCTCTCTCTGAAATCAATAAAATACTGTGGTTGCCAAAATGATTCCCTGTCTACTACCTGTGGGTGATCCAATGTCTTCCAGCCTGTGCCATTGGAAACTGCTGTATGCCTTTCTTCCCCACCCAGGTGACCCGCTCCGTTTCCATGCCCACTACATCGCCCAGTGCTGGGCTCCTGGGGATCCCATCCCACTCCAGGACCTGGTTTCTGCTGGCCGCCTCGGAACTAGTGTCAGAAAGACGCTGCTCCTTTGTTCTCCGCAGCCTGATGGTAAGGTGGTCTACACCTCCCTGCAGTGGGCCAGCCTGCAGTGAACTCCAGAGACTTATGGGGTGTGGCTTTGTCTGTGGCAAGAGCCTTTCTAGATGGTCCCAAGTTCATCTCTTCGTGGGAGACTAGAACACCTTCCTACCTCTCCCTACGGTTAGTTTTTGATTCCACATTTATAAACACTACATCTTTCTTATGTCCCTCCCTATTTCAAAGCACTTATTGGCTCTGTGGTTTTGTAGTTACCTATTTCCAAACTGTGAGCTTCTTGAGAGTGAAGATTGGGTTTGATTCATCTCTATTTTCTACAGGGCTTAGGTCCCAAGAGATCTCAATAAACTTGTTGAATAAATGTGGAGTTTGTGATTTGAATCCTTAGGACAGTCCTGGGAAGTGTGGCAATTTGCATCTGCTTTTACAGATGAGGAAAGGTTTGGACGAAGGGAAATGACTTGCCCAAGGTCACAGAACTCCTGGGAGATAACAGATGACCTAGAGTTTGGCAAAGATATTTCAGATGCTACAACAAAGGCACGATGCATGAAAGAATTGATAATCTGGACTTCATTAAAATTAAAAACAGAAAAAATTGCAAAAGACACATCTGATAAAGGACTGTTGTTCAAAATATTCAAAGAGCTCTTATAATTAAACAAGAAAAAGAACACGATGGAAAAAAATGGGCCCAAAGCCTTGACACCTAATGAAAGAAGCTAGAGCTGGCAACTCAGCATATGAAGAGATGCTCCACATCATATGTCATCATGGAAATGCAAATTAACAATGACAAACCACCAAACACCTATTAGAATGGCCTAGAGAACACTGACAACACAAAGTACTGGAATGGATGTGGAGCAACAGGAACATCCATTCATTGCTGGTGGGAATTCAAATGGTACAGTCACTTTGGAAGACAGTTTGGCAGTTTCTGACAAAACTAAATTACTCTCTATGCTCCTCAGTATTTACTCAAAGGACTGAAAATTTAGAACCCCACAGAAATGTACAGCCATGTTTGTAGCAGCTTTATTCATAATTGCCAAACTCTGCAAGCAACCAAGATGTCCTTCAGTTAGTGAATGGGTCAAGTATAGTTCATCCAGGCAATGGAATATTTATTATTAAAGAGTAAAAAGAAACTGAGTTTTCAAGCCATGAAAAGACATGGAGGAAACTTAAATGCGTGTTACTAAGTGGAAAAAGTCAATCTGAAAAGGCTCTATACTATATGGTTCCAAGTATGACATTCTGGGGAAAGCAAAACTATGGAGACAGTGAAAAGATCAGTGGTTGCCAGGGGTTAGAGGGGAAGGAGGGATGAATAGGCAGGTCACAGGATTTTTAGGGCAGATACTATAACAGTGGATACATATCATATATTTGTCCAAAGCCACAGAATGTATAACACCAAGAGTGAACTGTAATGTGAACTATTTTGGGTAGTTGCAGTGTGTCAGTGTAGGTTCATCAGTGGTAACAAATGTCCCACTCTGGTGGTGTTGATAATGGGGGAGGCTATGCATATGGGGGCATAAGGGGGTAAATGGGAAATCTTTACCTTCCTCTGTTTTGCTGTGAACCTAAACTCCTTTTTTAAAAAATAAAGTCTTTAAAAAATATATTGTGACTGGTGCCCCCACATCCAATCAGTCATTAAATCCTATAGGCACTACTTTCCTTCACTACCAACATGTTGCCGAAGTCAGAACACCGCTCACTTGCGTGACTGCAGCAGCTTCCTAACTCACCTCCTTGGCTTCTACCCATGCCCCTCTATTGTCTGTTTCTACAAAATAGCTGGCATAATCAGGTTAAAAGGTAGGTCACAATAACAACAAGAGAGAAAAAACAAAAATAAAAAAGTTGGTAGTTCACACTATGTCACTCCTCTGTTTCAAACTCTCCAAGCCCTGGCCAGTGTGGTTCAGTTGGTTGGGTGCTGTCCTGAGCACCAGGAGGTTGCTGGCTCGATCTTGTTAAAGGGCACATGTCTGGGTTTCAGGCTCTATCCCTGGTGTGGGGCATGCAGGAGGCAGCCGACTGATGTGCTCTCACATCACTGTTTTTCTCTCCCTCTAAATCAACTATTCTTAAAAAAAAACAAAACACCCACACTTAAAAAAACACAAAAAAACTCTCCATTAGTTTCCATCTCGGGGTAAAAGGAAAGGCCCCAAGTTGTAGGTTCCTCTTTAACTCTGACCCCATGCATTCCTCTCCTCTGTGCTTACTGTGCTGCTGCTACACTGGCCTCATCAGCATGCTCCCATTTAATCGTCTTTGCATCTGATACCCAACTTAGAATGCTTCTTCCCTGGATGGCCATGTGGTCTTGTCCCTCACTCAAGATAGTCTTTCCTTTAATGTCACCCTACTATACATGTAACACCCCCCATACGTCCCTTCTTGATACAGTTGCCTTACCGCTTATCACTAATGTGATATTGTGATTTATAATGAGAAATATATATTTGGTCTTTGTCCCTGTTTCTGTCAGAGCTCCAAAACCCTTGGAATTTCCAAAAGTGATAAGATCAAAAAAGGTGTTTTGATATTCATAAGAAACTCCTTTCAATCACACTTGAGTTTATGTAAATGAAGTGACTTTTGGAATATACCTAAGGATGGGATCTGGTTGCCAGGGAAACCAACCACTTGATGAGAAGGTTGAAACTTACAATATTCTCCCTCCACCCAGGGGAGAAGGGCTGGATATTGAGTTCAATCAACAATGGCCAGCGATTTAATCAATCATTGAGTTGGGAAACACGTGGAGATTTGGGGAGAGTGGCATGCTGGAAGGACATGGAAGTTCCCTGTCCTCTCCCCATACCTTGCCCTATGCATCTCTTCCATCTGGCTGTTTTTGGGTTGTACTCTTGTATAATTAACCAGTGATCTAGAGAGTACAATGTTTCCGAGTTTTGTGAGCTGTTCTAGCAAATAAACCAAAGGAGAAGTTTGTGGGAACTTCTATACATGATGCATATAGTTATTCATATATTTAATAATTACTGACTATCGACTATTTTGGACCTACCCTACATTCCTGATAAATAGAAAAGATGTGGTCCCTGCCCTCCTATAACCCTTTTGGTCTGAGAATCTGTAAACAAACAAAAAACAAAACAAATGAAAACAGAAACAAACTCATAGATACAGAGATGGGATGGGGATGGGAGGATGGATGAAACAATGATCCCTGTAACAGTCCAGAAGGGCCAGGACTTGATTAGAAACTTACAGCTTCCCTAATTTTTGTCCCTGGTTCCAATTTAAGACCAACAAGAGAAAGCCAAATATGCTCTCCTAACCAATCCAAGAATGCCTGTAATTAGCCCACCTCCAGATTCCCCCCTACCCTGAACAGCCTCCAGTCAGAGCACACCTAAAGCCCTTGCTTTTTTCCCCCACTATAAAACTCTTCTACCTGCCTTGGAGTCTCTGCCAAAATGCAAGTGATGGTAATTGATGTGCTCCCTCTGAATAAATAATAGCCTTTGCTCGTTTTCACTTATATCCATTGTGTAATCTTGGGCAAGTTCTATAAGTATCTTTTGGTGCCTCAGTGCTGTCTCTGTGAAACAGGATTGATACTAATTATTAGTACTTCTTAATAAAGGAGGGCAACTTCTCTGAGAGTACTTCACAAGTATGCATTGAGAATTAAATAAATTCATGTAAAATTCTTAGAACAGTGCCTCATACATAGTAAGCATTTCAGAATGTACCACCTACTATTATTTTTAATGACAGAAATCATGGGTCACAGGAATTAAAGAAACCCAGTGTCGCCCTGGCCAGTTTTGCTCAGCGGTTAGAGTGTTGGCCTGTGGTCCAGAGAGACCCGGGTTCGGTTCCTGCTACGGGCGCATACCTTGGTTGGTTTGTCTCCAGCCCTGGTTGTGCGGGTGGCAGCCACTCGACGTGTCCCTTTCACGTCGATGTTTCTCCCTCCCTCCCACTCTATCTGAACAAAAAATGGAAAAACGTCCTCAGGTGAGGATAAAATAAAAACCCCAGTGTTTAGCCCAAAGCCTAGCACATTTAAAGTGCTCATTAAATAGCCCTGCCGGTGTGGGTCAGTGGATTGAGTGTGGCCCCATGGATTGAGAGGTCCTGATTCAATTCCCAGTCAGGGCACATGCCTGAGTTGCAGGCTCAGTCCCCAGCGGGGGTGTACAGGAGGCAGCCAATTGCTGTTTTTCTCTCACATCTGTTTCTAATCTCTCTCTTCCTTTCTCTCTCTCTCAAAAAAAATCATTTAAAACATTTTTTTTAAAAAGTGCTCATTAAACGTTATCTAACAGTTATAAGTAAAGCCCTTGGTGTGCATAAGGATTACTCCAGGGAGAAAAGGACTAGAGAAACGAATCCTAGGGGCTGTCTGAGGGTAAGATGTTGACAAGGGAGATCAAAAACTAAATTCCACCCTGGCTGGTTTGGCTCAGCGGTTAGAGCGTTGGCCTGTGGACCAGAGTCCCGGGTTTGGTTCCTGCTAAAGGCACGTACCTCAGCTTCAGTTTGTCCCCTCCCCGGTTGGGGTCGTGTGGGTGGCAACCAGTCCATGTGTCTCTCACATCAACATTTCTCTCTCTTCCTCCCTCCCTCCTGCTCTATCTGAAGATAAATGCAAAAATGTCCTCGGGTGAGGATAAAAAACATAAAAAAAAACCCTCCAGGTGACAAATGGCACCGAGGTGCAGCAGAATATAAAGGAAGGGGAATATATACTGCTGTTTTTGATAAAGAGGCACAAGGCTGCTCTGGCCAAGTAACTCAGCTGGTTGGAGTGTCCTTTGGATGTGCCAGGGTTGCAAGCTCCATTCCTGGTGGGGGCACAGGTGGGACTCAACCACTGAGTGCATGGATAGGTGGAACAGCAAGTCAATGTTTCTCTCTCCCCTTAACAGTCAATATAGAAAATTTAATGAGAGAAAAAAAAAGGCACCAAGTCTTTTTTCTTTCTTTTTATCCTCACCTGAGGACATTTTTCCATTTTTTTGTTCAGATAGAGTGGGAAGGAAAGAGTGAAACATCGACATGAAAGGGACACATCGAGTGGTCTCCACCAGCATGACCCAACCAGGGCCAGGGACAAACTGCAACCAAGGTACGTGCCCTTAGCAGGAACCGAACCCGGGTCTCTCTGGACCGCAGGCCGACGCTCCAACCGCTGAGCCAAACCGGCCAGTGCAGCACCAAGTCTTTTTAATCCCTGGGTCTCAAGCTTAAAAAACTGTCACCTCCTTGGAGTCCGCCTGGCCCTGGCTGGTGTGGGTCAGTGGTTAGAGCGTCAAGGGCACCTACCTGGGTTGCGGGTTCGATCCCCACCCCAACCAATGTTTCTCTCCCTTCCTCCCTTCCACTCTCTCTAAACATCAATGGAAAAGGGTGAGTGAGGATTAACAAAAAAAGTGTCCAGACTATCCTATCTGAAGCACCATTTCCTTCGGTAATTTATTTTCTTCATGGCACCCCACTCTGAAGTTATTTACTTCCTTCGACTTACTTTTCTGTTCCCCTAAGACTAAGCTCCATGAGCAGCGGGGCTGTCTCACTCCCGGCTCTACGTCGCCGTGTGGAGCAGTTCCTTGTGCTGCTCAATAAACGAATGAGGCACAGCTGAGGGAGGGCGACTGTCCCCAGAGGTGGCCAGGACCACCGTGATCTCTACCCAGATCTTTTTTTTTTTTCTTTGTCTGCAAAATCCAAAGAAGGCAAAAGTGAGTGGAATCCTGTCACGATGGACAACCGAGCTGTTTCTCCTCAGGCAAGTCCCTCAACCGCGACTCGAGGCTCCTCGCTCTCCGCGTTCCTTCCCCCAGATTTGTGGCCAGAGTTCCAAAGGCCAGGCTGGCTTCTGCCTAAGCTTCGGGGCGACGTTTTTCTGACAGGACGCACGACGCCCTCCTCCTTCAGGGAATCCACGGAGCACCTCCCGGAAGCAGCTGTGCGTGCGCGAAGCCCCCTCCGGAGGGCTTTTCACAGAGCGGTAGCCGGCTGAGGTCTACAGAGGGTGGAGGTAACGTCTCCGACGTCGTACCCGACTCAGAGGACAGCTGGCTGGACTTGAGTCTCCACCCAGGGGCGGAGACAGGGCCCCATCCCTCGGGTGGTCGGTGTTCCGAGTCCCCGTCACGTAGCGAAACACTCGCACCAGCTCAGCAAACTGCGCTCTGCTGCAGCCTCTCCGCGCTGCAGCTTTTCCGCCCGCCGACGCCTCTTCTGATTGGTGCAGCGTGCGCCGTGCGCGATGACGTCACGGGCGGCGGCATGGCTATAAAAGCGCGGCGGGGGCGCGTGCGCGCCTCTTTCTCAGTTATCCGGGGTTGCGCTTAGGTGAGGTTTGTTTAGCGTGCTTTCCAGTCCGGGCGTGGGGTGTAAGGCTGCGCGGGCCTTCCGAATTTGGATAAAGAAGGTGAAGAGGTTGAGGGGGGGTGAGATGAGAGTGGTTGGACAGGACGGCGACACGATTGCGGAGTAATTTCGGTCACGGTAGCGCTAGGGACGGCTCTCGCGAGATCTCTGGGCGCCGCGGGATTCTAGCGTAGTTGTCTTACCGCGCAGGCGCCGCTCGCGTTCCTCACGCTCGAGTTTTCTCTCCTGCGCAGGCGTAGACAGGCGAGCGCAGCCAATATGCCGGTGGCCCGGAGCTGGGTTTGTCGGAAGACATACGTGACCCCACGGAGACCCTTCGAGAAATCCCGCCTCGACCAAGAGCTGAAACTGATCGGTGAGGGGCCAAACGCAGGGTTTCGGCTTCCGGGGTCGAGGGAGGGTTAGCGCGTGGGTGAGGCCGGCCACGTGCTCGGTGCGTCCTCTTCCCCAAGATCAGAACTGTTTAAGATTTTTCTGTGTCTCGAATTAGTTAATCCAGCTTTTGCACTGGTCCGTGGGGACAGATCGTTCACCTGTCAACTCGCGCCACCCCCACTTTTATTTATTTCTGCAGGAGAGTATGGGCTCCGGAACAAACGTGAGGTCTGGAGGGTCAAATTTACCCTGGCCAAGATCCGCAAGGCTGCCCGGGAGCTGCTGACGCTGGACGAGAAAGACCAACGGCGCCTGTTTGAAGGTGTGTATGGGAGGCCACAGGAAACAAGTGAAGCCAGCCTTTTAGCTTGACGTGTAATGGGAGTCGTGGGGTAGGAAAAGTGGGTCTGGATCCAAATCCGGCATGTTCCTTATGTGGTGATCTTGTTTTACTTAATCATTGGGGCTTAATTGGCTTTTGATTAGAACTAATAATGCCATTCCTACCTGGGGCGCCTGGCTATAGCTGTATATCGTGTAACAGAATGGTTCTGCAGGTGGTGGGACTAGACAGTGAAATTTCTGAGATGTCAGATGGTGATTGCAGGGAGGTGACTTGGCTGTGTGCATTTGCCTGCTTTAGTGAGGTGGTCAAGGACAGTTTAGGTGACATTTAGCAAAGACCTGAACAGGAGAGCTTGTGGTGTCACAGGGATGAACATTTAGACTCTTGCTTAAGGGTCTTAATTTTCTACTTTGAGCTGGGAAGTTAATGGAAGGTTGACACAATCACACTCAAATTTTAATAGTGTCTCTGAGATTGTAAGATGTTAGTAATATTAAAATAGCTGATATTTTTAAGGATTGGCTAAGTGTACCTTTTCCTAAGGTCTTCGTTTATGTTAAATAAGGCACAGAAACCTTGAACAAATGGTGGAGCCCTCCCTTTGACTGTCTCTTGAAAGTTCCAGAATCCCCTCCCCCGTGGACATTGGTATTGGGTGGGCCTTTATCCCAGAGGTAGGGAGCCGGGCACAGTTGGTTTTGAAATCAGAACTCAGAGCTAGTCACAGTGAAACTCATTTAAATCTGTGCTTAGATGACAGTCATGGGGGCAGAAATGATGGGTAGGTATCCAGGGAATGTGGTTTTTCAGAGCAGAAATGGAAGTTGCAAGGGGAAGTCGGTATCTTCCCTTTTAGTGAACAAAGCCATTTAGCCACAGGAGAGTGGGGAGGCGGGGCCTGGGAGTTCTACCACTGGAGGTGTTCCTATTCAGAGTCTCATCTGTTAAAAAGACTAACTTACCAGCAGCCAACATTTGGGTGTAAACTCCATCTGCACAGCAGCTTAAGGACAGGTATTATATCTGTTCTCAGATCAGAAACTAAGGCACTTCAGTGCCATATTGACAAAGGCCCCTTTGGCACTGAATTGCCCACAAAGTTAGCCAGCTCTCCCTGGGCTTGAGGAAGTGCCTGGTAAGTGTGGGTTTGTTGTTCTGGATTTTGCTTGAGTTTTGTTTTTGCTATAATGAAAGATTCTAAGAGCTACTTCCTAAAAAGTGAAACTAATCCTTTCTAAGGATAAAAGTTTTGGGCTTTGCTTCAGTGTCAAGGTGCTAATTAGCTCTGAGCCTCTGGTGAAATGGGCAGGGCTTTCTTAACTCCAGAATATTAGCTCTTATCCCCATGTTTTGTCACAGGAATCATAGTTGGGTAACAGCAGCCCTAGTCTTGGAGGTGAATGCTAAGCCCCTTTACAAGGAATTGTCTAGTTTTTCCTTCCTGACAACTCTGAGGCAGGCCCTTCTTTCCCAGATGAGAACACATCTGTGCAGTCACCCGCCCTCCTTGGTGAGAGGGATGTAGCCGTAGGAATGCGCCTTACAGTTGTGTGAGGGTCACATGAGTTACTTGATAGCTGGTACCTTGAGTCCTATGCAGAATTAGCTGGTAGTTCACCAATGACCCATCAGCATGATCAGCATGACATGGAGCTGCTGAGGTGGAGGACTTGAAACCATCAAGTGTGAGGTCAGTTTGAACCCTGGCTTGTGCTTCCTTCCTCCCCTCGCCAGGCAATGCCCTACTGCGGCGCCTGGTCCGCATCGGGGTGCTGGATGAGGGCAAGATGAAGCTGGATTATATCCTGGGCCTGAAGATTGAGGATTTCTTGGAGAGGCGCCTGCAGACACAGGTCTTCAAGCTGGGTTTGGCCAAGTCCATCCACCATGCTCGGGTGCTGATCCGCCAGCGTCACATCAGGTACTACCTTTGCCAGGCTCCCCAAGTTGTCCTCTTCATCCCCTCCCCCATTGCTTCTGAAGGTTCTCACTAAGCCTGCTGTCCCTGTTTCCTGTGCAGCCCTTGGAGGTGACAAAGGTGTGCGCTCACCTTGAGGGTGCAGATTGACCCCTACAAACAGCCTGTGGGGGGCTTGGGGCCATCTCACCCCCCATAGTCCAGCGCAAGGGTCACTGCGGCTTGAGCCGTACACCTTGCGAAGGCCTCTGCCAGGCATGCAGGCACCTGGACAGGTAACAGCTCTGGTGTCCCCCAGTTGAGAAGTCATTGGGCCTCAACTGACTTGGGTGGGTTCCGCTATCTCCGGGGCCCACTTGTGAGGTCATTCCAGACCCTATTCTAGTTGGATTCTTGCACCGTGGGCATTAACTTGGCAAATTGACCACAGTCCAGGGTCTGATGTGGTGCAGATGCTGGCCCAGGGTGGCAGCTGGTGCACTGAAGTGACCAGTCAGGATCAGTGGGTCTTTATCTGGGTATTGGTTGCCCTTCCTATAAATTGGCACTTTTCAAGGGGAGCTGTGCAGTACGTGGGCAGGATGCTTGTGCACTCAATTGCTGCCTCAGCCCTCTGCTACCCCTGCAGCTTACAGGCTAGAGCCTCAGTCACATTTCTTGTTGGAAGTGACTTCATAGAACCTAGTCTTGGGCTGTTGCTTCTGGGACAGTCTAGCTGCAGGATAATGAAGCTCAGCGTTTGGCACAGTTCAGAGGATTTGAAAGTCAGATTTTGGATTTATACGCTGCCACCTCACTTCGTTCTTTTGTGGTCTTGTTGGTTACTTCTGAGCCTTCCTCCCCTCTGAGATGAGAGAAGCTTGTCTCAGAAAGTGTCTGTAGGGATTAAATGGACGCCGGAGGCCATGGGGTTAGGAGGCCCTGCCAGTTTAGCTGTATGAGTGCAGTTGTAGCGCTGACCCTGTCATCTGCAAGGCACGGGTGAGAGGAGAGGGGTGTCTTGTCCATGTTGGGGTCCTACTTCCCCCCTTGACCTGCTGTCCTCCCTCTAGGGTCCGCAAGCAGGTGGTGAACATCCCCTCCTTCATTGTCCGTCTGGACTCCCAGAAGCACATCGACTTCTCCCTCCGCTCCCCGTACGGGGGTGGCCGCCCGGGCCGCGTGAAGAGGAAGAACGCGAAGAAGGGCCAGGGCGGGGCTGGAGCCGGCGATGATGAGGAGGAAGATTAGGCCCCCTTATCCCCCCTGGACTGGCTGAGTATCTAGTTTTCCAGTCAGATAATAAAACAGATCAACACTTTGCAACTGGTCTCTATTGCTGTGCCTCTTTTCCTCCGCGCTCTGAACATGGCAGCCGGTGTAGCAGGAAGCAGCACAGGCTGGGTTCCTCACCAGGTTGCCTGGAGCTAGTTCACACACCTGTCGTGTTGCTCCTGCACAGAGGGGGCCTGGGTAGCCTGGTTTGGTCAGAGCCTTGTGGGCTTTTTTTTGTTTTGTTTTTAGAAGTTTCGTGTAAAATAGAATTCAACATCAGTATACACGGCAAAGTCATCACCCCTGAAAGTCTAGTTACTATTCATTAAAAAATTGGGAATGCCTCATGATTCCGCATGTCACTCTCGCTCAGGGGCCTGCTGATCTGTCTGTCTACTTTCAGTATGTGAAGCTGAAGGCATCAGAATCTTGTGACTGTAGGTGGGGGTCCTTGTCCTAGGGTGGGGTCTGCACTAGTGGACAGAAGACTCACACCAACATCACAGAGGGAAACCAAGGCTGTTAGGGGGAAGGTCCTTGAGTTAAAACCTGGTGTTAACTTGACTGGCAAGCAAATCATTTTAATTTCAGTGAAGTTAAAAGAGGCATTCTGAACAAAACCGGACGAGACAGAAGTTCTGAAAGCTGAACTTTCTAGGCAGAGGAAGCAAGTGGAGGTCCCATCTCCAGCCCTTTTACCCTGGTCCCTGGCAAGAAGTCAGAGTAAGATGGGTGGGAGCTGAGAGCTGATCTGGTTTGGTCCACCTCAGGTTGCTGGCTAGTTTTAATTGGCAGCGGTGGACATGATCTACAGGCTCATCTCAAAGCTTGTTACCAGATGGTTGATGGGCAGATTCCCAGTTCTGTGTCATGATTTAAAGTGGGGCATGGGTTAGTGGCCTGTGGAAAGGCACCCCTCCCCCTGTACTTGGGAGTATGAAGACATGGGGAGCAGGCTTCCCTTTCTTTGCTGAGAAGCTGCATCAGGCCCGGTAGAAAGGGGCTGGGTCTCAGGAAATGAGAATCGGAATTGAGCAACCCTTCAGTGTTGCAGCCACCTTGTGCCCTGTGGTTGGTCCCTGTGTGGGGACTTGGGCTCTGAGGCAGTGGCTGGGCAGTAGTCTTCCCTAGCCCGAGGTTGCCACTTGCACAATCAAGGCCTTGATGGCAATCCCATGGGGTCCTTGCAGTTTGCCGGGTCACTTTGGTGGGGACTGGAGATCACCTGTGGAACGATGCAGGTCCTGGGAGCAGTCAACTTCCCAAAGTCCTGGAGCTGCTGGGGGCATGTCATGTCCTCAGGCTGGTGGGGGCTACTAGCTGAGTGTCCAAGGGGGCAGCTCCTGTGCCTTCCAGGGTCCCTGCAGACCCCCTCCCTAGAGGGTGGGGTCTAGGTTCTTGGGCTGGTGGATGGCCAGAGCAGCGTACGTGCTGGGCTCATTTGTGGGCTCTGATGGGGAGGAAGAGGGTGCACTTGTCTCTCGTCTGAGGCTCAAGTGGTTGAGTTGGGCGTAGGTCACGTCCTGTGGGTCTTCAGGTGCTGCAGCCTGCAGTGGGGGAGAATGAAGACGCGTAGTTAGGGTGGGGGAAGCCTGAGGCCAGGGAGGAACGGACACAGTTCTGGGGGGCCTTCCTTGTCAGGGCTCTGATGGAGATGGTGAAGGGGTGGTCTTGGTTCTAGCCTTGCTGTCAGTCATCGTATCTTTGGGGGTCTAGGGAAGGAAGGATGTGAGGTTGAGAGGTTGGAGGTGTGAGTTGTGTTGGGGAGATAGGAATTGGATGTGGAGCATCACCATGGAGGGACAGTCAGAACCACTGCTCCCCTCGAGGGAGTGCTGTCCGCTTGCTAGGATGGGCGAATACACAGCCTGTCGTCCATCACCTGTGTGGTCCTTGGGCCAGAAGAGAGACAATGGCTTGGATTTCAGCCATTTGTGTCAGGCTCAGACCGCTCAGCCCTGACCTTCAGCCCCTCCGTGTCCACATGAGCCCTCAGCTCCAAGGGGCCACGGAGGAGGGCAAGGGGAGGGTGGTGTTGAGCGGCCCAGAGCGGTGTGCCTCTGGAAGCCAGGGGCTGCCCAGGGCTGAGTGGTGCGAGGCGGACGTGTCCACTGGATTTAGTGTGTGGACAAGGAGGTGTGGATGCCCTGCGCAGGACCAGATGGAGCTCACCTGAGTCTCCAGCTGTCTGTCCTCCTGAGGCCGTGTGTCTTCCACGACAGCATCTGGTGGGGACAGAACAAGGCCTTCTCATCTCTTGCCAAGATTCCCTGAGACCTCACCTGGCAGAGGCCCAGAGAGGGTCAGTGACATGGCCAAGGTCACACAGTATCATCCTTGCGCTGTCTCACCTTCAAGCCCAGAACCATTTCCAACCAACCCTCCGTCTCCACAGCCCACCCACACCCATGTTCTCTGGGCCCGTCTCCCCCGCCGCCCCCTTACACAAGTTCTCTTCCTGGACTTCAGTAGCTGGGCTGGAGCTGGGGGAGGAGACAGAGCGTTAGGGGGCTGAGAGGGGGTGGGACAGGTGGGACTCGGTGTCTTTGGGACAGGGCTCACCTCTTCTGCAGGCCTCTGTCCTTGGGTTCCGACGCTGCAGCCACTGTGGGAAGGTGGGGTCAGCTTCCAGCCCACCCTAAAGCCCTCCCCTGGGACTACACCGAGATCTGCAGAGGACCCAACAACTGAAAAGATCAAAGATCAAAATCGCCTCCCACCTCCACACGGAATGAAGAGAGAGCAGTTCTGCATGATAAAAAACAAAAGTTGCCTATGTTTTGAAACTTCATGAGGTTGAAAAAGCCAAAAGAATACGAAAATGCTTACACGTTTAATCTCTTCAGATCGTTCCCCTGTTGGGAAACGCTTGAGGAGGTTTTTCTTCGTTGACCTTCCCATCTATTTGGTTTCCCTCTGACCTTCTGTGACCCAGGTCACCCCATTCCCTACTCACCTGACATCCTGCCTTTGCCCTGACGCCGGTGTCGGAGGAAGAGGAAGAGGAGAAAGAGCAGCAGGACGAGGGCCACCGAGACCCCGATCAGGACGTACAGGTACCACGGGAGACCTTGGACATGAATGACGTCATGAATGAGCCAATGATGCTATTTAAAGAGCACCTACTGTGTGCGAGGCAGGTGCTGGGGTCTCTCATTCATCCCTCGCACCTCACACAGTCATGCACCAGGGATTGTGCCCCAGCGCCCATGTCACTGAGGCTCAGAGGTTAGTCACCTGTCCCTGTGCAGAGACGTGTCACCAAACCCAATCACCACCCCTCTCCAGCCCAGCCCAGATCCACCTCCCACTCTGCAGACTGACACCCAACCCACCGCAGTGGGACCTGTGTGCACATGGAGTGTGTGTGCCTGGGCGGTCACTTTGGGGGCTGTGGCGTTCCACAGCCCAGGACCCTAGGACTCGGGAGGAACAGATTGTGTAAAATCCCATGGAGGGGAAGGGGCAGAGCTGGGACTCGAACCAGGGGAGTGGCTTCCTGACTTCACTGGGGGTTCCTTGGAAGGTTTATGAAGAGAGCTCAGACACCGCCCTTGTCCCCACCACACACACACAGTCACGCACACTCAGTGTCCAGCAGGTCTTTGGAGGAATTGGTTCCGGTGAGAAGACGCAATTGGTCTCAGGCCGTCATCCAAGAAGTGGCTGAACCAAGACCAGCAGTAACCCTCCCACCACCACCTCCGCACAGACCCTCACTTACCCTCCTGTGGGTCAGACTCCATGCTGGGGGGCCAATCACCAGAACTTCCTGGGGATGAAAATGGGGATGAGGGGTGGAAGCTTCCTCCTCCCCACTTCAGCCTGGCTGCCCCTCCCCAGGGTGGGGGCACAGAATCTCGCTCTGCCATGACCACTCCACCTGTCACCTGCCAGCCTCAGAGTCCTGGAGCCCTGTGGGTCCCCAGTATGTCGGCCAGGCCCCTGGGAGACCAGCCATGCCCCAGCAGGGGGTCTTGTCCTCTCTGGGCCCAAGGCCTCTGCTAGTCCCCACTCTTGTCTTGGTCTCTCAGGGTGTGGACTCAGGACTGGAGACGGAAGGGGGTCGGGGTGGGTGCCTCTGGCCTTTTCTCCTTTTGGTCAGTCTGAGTCTCTCCAGCCTCCCTCTGCCCACCGGGAACATGTCTGGGCCTCGGGATGGGGGTGACGATGAGGCAGGGGTGGGAGTTGCTCTGGTTTTTCCCATCCCTCTGGGAGGTGAGGTCCTCTCTGGCTGCCCCTCCTGTGACCCCCTCACTGCTATTGCAGCCCATGGTGGCCTGTGATCTGGGTCCTGAACTGACCATGAGGACGCAAGGGGCAGGGCTGGGGGTCCTCACCTGAGACCAGGAGATCCAGGGGGTCACTGGGGTGTGACAGCAGGTAGGGGGAGGCACTGTGTGAACCATAGCACCTGTAGGTGCCGTTGTGGGCTGAGGTCACAGGACCAAAGGTTAAGTTGGCCTGAGAGGGTGCAGTCATCTTCTGCACAGGAAGGTGCTGGGGGGGATCCAGAGACCCCTCCCTGTGCAGGTGGAAGGTGTCAAACCAGATCTCAGATCCACACTGCAGGGTCACGTTCGCTCCCCAGGGCACTGAGGGGCCCGGCAGGATGGAGAGGGAGGGTTTCCTGTACATTCCTGGGGAGGGGAAGGTGTGATGTGTACAGAGCTGCCCCCTCCCACATACCCTTGACCCTGAGCTGAGGGATCATGTCCTTCCCCAGGGACGCTGTCTGTGATCCTTCTCAGCTCTTCTCAGTGTCCCCGGGTGGGTGTCTCTATGTCTGAGCCCCTCACTCCGCCTTCCTCACTCCCTCCCTCTGCACCTCTGCCCCTTCTCAGCCTCTGCCCCAGGACCCTCTCCTGGACCTCAGCATCACCAGGGGACCCTGTCCCCAGCGCCCTGAGCAGACAGTCAGGACAGGGGCAGGGCTGGGCTCCTCACCTGTGACCAGGATGTCCAGGGGGGCGCTGGGGGCCGACCACGCATAGGAGAGTCTGTGTCCACTGTAGCATCTGTACCGGCCCCCATGGGTGTGGTCCACATGGCCCAGGGGGAAGTTGGGGCTGTGCTGCCCGACAAGGCGCTGGGGGTGTGTGAGCCCCTGGTCCTTGGTCAGAGCGAATCTGTCAAAGCCAGCCTCTGAGCCACACTGCAGGGTCAGGCTATCTCCAGGCAGCACCAGGGAGCCCGGCTGGGCCGAGAGGGAGGGCTCCCTGTGCACACCTGGGAGAAGGGGACATGGCATCAAGGGACTCATACCCCATTGCCCATTGGGGCTGCAGGGAGAGTCCTGTCCTGTCCCTCCCTAAACCTCCCGCCTGAGGTTCTGTCCTCCAGAGGCCAGTGTCACTGACCCCCTGACCCCAGGGCTCCACTGGGCATTACTTAGGTCAGTCATTTTGGGCCCAGAAAACAGATGGGTTTGCACAGGGTCTGTCCCCTCACCTGTGACCTCGAGACGCAGAGGGTCACTGGGGTGTGACCACAGATTGGGGTAGGATCTGGGGGAACCATAGCATCTGTAGGTCCCCCCGTGGGAGGAGTTCACGGGGCCCACAGGGAAGGTGGCCTGGGCATAGGTCCTTCCAGCATTGGACCTTGATTGCGGTTCCTTGTGTCGGGGCGGGTCAGCTCCTCCCTCCTTCAGCAGATGGAAAGTGCCCGATGTGTCCTGTGAGCTACACACGAGGGACACGCTCCCTCCTGAGGCCACCACAGGGCTTGGCTGGGCTGAGAGGGAGGGTGCTCTGTCCACTCCTGGGGGAGAAGGGGGATCCGTGTTAAAGGGACCATCATCCACATGTTCCCAGTGTGGACTGTGGGGTGAGGTCCCCCTGAGCCCACTCTTCCTTTTGTTTTTGTTTTGTTTTTTTTATCCTCACCCGAGGATATTTTCCATTTTTTGTACAGATAGAGTGGGAGGGAGAGAGAGGAAGGGAGAGAGAGAGAGAGAAACATCGACGTGAAGGGACACATCGAGTGGCTGCCACCCGCACGACCAACCAGGGCGGGGACAAACCGCAACCGAAGTACGCGCCCCTAGTGGGAACCGAACCCGGGTCTCTCCGGACTGCAGGCCGACGCTCCAACCGCTGAGCCAAACTGGCCAGGGCCCACTCTTCCTTTTGTAGTGTGAGGGGAGCCACACTGGGGAGGGCACCCAGGTTTCCCCTACCTGTCACCACCAGGAGCAGGGGGTCACTCCGCTGTGAGAGTCTGTTCCTGATGTAATACGCACACCTGTAGAGCCCTGCATGCTGTTGTCTGACGGGTTCAATGAGGAAACCGGTCTTGTTGCTGAACTCCTGTAGGATCTTCGTATCCAAGGGCTCAGAGCCCCTCTCTTTATATAGAATGTAGGCAGTAGCGTGTAGAGACCCCTGACACCAGAGGGTCACAGGACTTCCTCTGGTGACCATGGGGCCTGGCTCCGCCCAGATGGAGGGTTTGGGGACAACTTCTGGAAAGGAATCAGACACAAAATGTCAGGGGAGCCCTTCTCCCTCTGTGTTTCCCCAGCTGTCACTCCAAGGCCCCTCCCAGGTTGGTCACCATGATTCCAAACCCCGTATCTCCCCCAGCTGCCCTGGGAAGACGGGGTGGTCATTGTGCTGAAGCAGGAGGTCTGGGGGAGCACTCACCTGCCTGTACCTGGTCCCATGGGCCCCGACACAGCCCTGGAAGAGAGTTCCTGTGAGAACCATCCCAAACCACACGTAGAAGCTCCAGGCCTGGTCTGGGCCCCTGAGCTCTGGGGGGCAGACCTGGGGCTGAGCACACCTCTCCTCCCCCAAAGTCCTGGCCCCAGGAAGTGTCCTGAGTCCTGGGGTTTCTCTGCAGCAGCATCTGGGAGGGCAGGGGGCTCCATCAGTTTGCATTTCCCCAGAGCTCACAGAGGCAGAGAAGGGCAGTGAGGGTCGCGGTCATGGTGCTTCCTCCCATGGTCCTCAGTGTGCAAAAGACGAGTAAAATTCACAGATCTTGAGAGACAGACGGATGCATGGGATGTGACAGGGTCCAGGCTTTGTGTGACATGTCATGGGTTCCTCATCAATGGCCTCACAGGAAGGGAAGTAGCCCCTCCCTGAAGGATGTGCCAGAGGACACAGCTGGTTCTGAGACCTTTCAGACTGACCTGAGTCTCAGCCAACCCCCAATGTCTGCCTCCACCTCACACCAAACTCAAATCCAGAGGATGACACCTGACCCAGGACATGAGGGCAGAACAACAGGCAGGAGAGGAGCCCCCCCCCCCCAAATTTCTGCTACAATTCTGACTGCCTTTTCTAGAATGTCTGTGACCTTGGGTAAGACACTTCCCTTTCCTGAGCCTATGTAAATGAGAATTTCTTCCCTTCTCTCATTGGGCAATCCGTCAGGCAATATCTACTGAGCAGTTACCCTGTCCAGTCATTGGCCAGGCTCTGGGGAGTCACGGCTGAAGCTGACGGATTCTTTCCCTGGACTCATGGTGCTCAGATTATTGAACACAGACATTACTGATATGTAGACCGCAGACGGTTACTTAGTCTTGTGAGATTATACATGCTGGGAGAAAAAAGGAAATGAGAGAATGAGGTTCAATAACAAGAAGACATCATGCAACCTGGGTCCTGGCTGAGAGGTTCCTTCTTGAGGATGGACTGGCCCAAGGCATGAGCAGGGACTAGCGCAGAGGTGGGGGCTGGGGGCATCCTTGACCAGAAAGATCTCGACCTGTTCTCAGACGTGAGAGCAGTCAGGTGAAGGCTCAGCCTGCTCACACAGGGTCTGGAGCACCGTGCAAGTATTTTTTTTGTTTTATCCTCACCTGAGGACATTTTTCCATTTTTTGTACAGATAGAGTGGGAGGGAGAGAGAGGAAGAGAGAGTGAGAAACATCGACGTGAAGGGACACATCGAGTGGCTGCCACCCGCACGACCAACCAGGGCCGGGGACAAACTGCAACCGAGGTACATGCCCTTAGCGGGAACCGAACCCGGGTCTCTCCGGACCGCAGGCCAACGCTCTAACCGCTGAGCCAAACTGGCCAGGGCCGTGCAAGTATTTTGGATTTTATCTTGAAGCCAATGGGAAAAATTTTAAGCAGCGACTGACTGTGTGAAGAGATTTCTGTTTTAAAAAGGCTACCACTGTTCTAGCCTGTGTCACTCAGTGGTATGAACATCAGTCCATGCACCTAAGGGTGGTGGGTACGATTCCCGGTCAAGGGCATGTACCCCGGTTGCAGGTTTGATCCCCGGCTTTTGTCAGGGCACATGCTGGAGGCAACCTATTGATGTGTCTCTCTCACATTGATGTTTCTCTTTCTCTCTCCTTCCCTCCCTCCCTTCCACTCTCTCTCAAAAACTCAATGGGAACAAATATCCTCAGCTGAGGATGAACAGAAATAAGGGAATAAATATGAAAAGGCTACCACCATGTGAAAATGTCATGCAGGCAGCCTCTATAGATAACTAAGGCTCTCCGCAATAAAATGCCAACATTCACCTGACCCCTGGATGGCATGTTGGTCAATATTTTAAGTCATGGATGTGGTTTTCTCCTTTAACTCTCGCACAAACCTATAACACAAACTACATTTTTAGTTGAGTGGGATGGGACAGGACAAGTCTTGGTCCAGCAGGTTGGAAAGGAGGTGACTGGGTTCATTCAGATGGGGTGAGGGAGCGGCTGGAAAGGCAGAGAATTTTTTTTTTGAATCCTCACCCGAGGATATTTTTCCATTTATATTCAGAGTGGAAGGGAGGGAGAGAGAGAGAGAAACATCAACGTGAGAAGGACACATTGACTGGTTGCCTCCCGTACGACCTTGACCAGGGCTGGGGATGAACTGAAACGGAGGGAAAGGCCCTTGACCGAATTGAACCTGAGACTCATTGGTCCGTGGGCTGGGCCGACGCTCTGACCGCTGAGCCAAACTGACCAGGACCAGAGAATTTTTATTTTTATTTTGTAGAGAGAGATAAAGGGAGAGGGAGAGGGAGAGAGAGAGAGAGAGAGAGAGAGAGAGAGAGAGGCCCAGAGAATTTTTAAATAGCTCAGTTTCTGTGTGTGGCTTGCTGTGGAGGGGAATGTGGTTAACTGGGGTGAGTTTGGTTGTGGAGGGAGAGTCGTGTTTGCTGGGGCTGGTGAGTTTAGCTCAAGCCTCATCATCATAGCCTTAAATATTAGAATGTGCAACTTGGATCTTTTTTTTTTGTTGTTGTTAATCTTCACTCAAGGATATTTTTTCCATTGATTTTTAGAGAGAGTGGAAGGGAGGAAGAGAGGAGACAGAGAGACAGAGAGAGAGAGAGAGAGAGAGAGAGAGAGAGAGAGAGAGAGAGACATCTATGTCCTTGACTGGGAATTGAACCCACAATCCTTCAGTGTGTGGGCAGACACTCTAATCACTGAGCACATCTGCCAGTGCATCTTGGATATTTTCTGCAGATGGAAACTGGTAGAGGGTGTGGACAGTGAAGCTCGGGTTATAGGAAGAGTCCTCAGGAGGTGGAGAGAGGAGCACACTGGAGAAAGGGGTGGGGCCTGCATTGCAGGACCAGGAAGGAGGCTGGTGAGCTGATACAGATAAGACATCTTGAGTGTTGTGATGGGTCCGGGACGCTGCTCAGAAGGTGTCAGTCGGGGGGAGGGGGGGAGTGGAGTGGCGCTGATCAGATGTAAAGTGCAGGAGTGAGGAAATGGAGTCTATTCCACTATCTCCTTGGTGGGGGGAGGAGCCAGTGGGACCATCACCGGGAGGATGACCCCAGGGCAGGGGGAGCTTGGGGAGGTGCTGAGATCACCTTTGCTCAGAAGAAAGCATGGCACTACTGAAACTGTGCATTTTCTCTCCCCACACACTTCCCTTTCCTGACTTCCTGTTTCTGTAAAAACCATCTTTTTCTTCATCTCCCTTTTTCAAAACCTCTGAGTCATTGCTACCCCCTCAGTGCCCCTCCTCCTCCTCACAGATTTTAAAAATGAACACCAATGGACTTGGGGACCTGTGAGACCATTTATGTTGCTGAACTCCAAAGGAGAAAAATACCAGTGAAGAAAAAATGTGCTTGAAGAAATAGATAGCTGATCATTTCACAAATTTGCTGGAAGTTATAAATTCACATGTCCAAGAAACTCAACTATGAATTATTTATTTATTTATTTATTTATATTTATTTTTGTTCAGATAGAGTGGGAGGAAGAGAGAGGAACAGAGAGAGCGAGAGAAACATCGACATGAAAGGGACACATCGAGAGGCTGCCACCTGCATGACCAACCAGGGCCAGGGACAAACTGCAACCGAGGTACATGCCCTTAGTGGGAACCGAACCCAGGTCTCTCTGGACCGCAGGCTGACGCTCTAACCGCTGAGCCAAACAGGCCAGGACTAACTTTTGCCATTTTAATTATGATGTGACTTGGTGTGGGCCTCTTTGGGTTCTTCTTGTTTAGGACTCTCTGTGCTTCCTGAACTTGTGTGTCTTTTTCCTTCACCAGGTTAGGGAATTTTTAGTCATTATTTCTTCAAATACATTCTAAATCCTTCGCTCTCTCTCTTTGCCTTTTGGCAACCCTATGATGCTGATATTGTTACACTTTATGATGTCTTAAATGTCCCTTAAACTATTCTCATTCTTTTTGATATATTTTTTTCTTTTTGCTGCACTGATTGGATTTTTTTTCTACCTTGTCTTCCAAAACCAGAAGTTTTACTGTGCTTTATGGGGTTTAGGGAGACACCCATCTACTACCCCTTGGTCTAAAACAGGAAGTCTGAAATGCGATTGATTTTTATATATTAATGATGTACCCAGTGACATTGGATAAATTCTTTCAAAATGGAATAATAGATCTGTATATTATTTTGGATTTTGTGCATGTTAGTGTGTGTGTCTGTGTGTGTATGTTTATGTGTATGTCTGTGTGTGTCCATGTGTACGTCGGTGTGTGTGTATTTCATACATGCATAAGTGTTCAGAAGCATTTAGCAGAGAAGCTTTTCAAATTCTGAGTTCACATTGCAGGAAAAGTTTTTAAAAAAAATTGTTTTAAATTTATTGATTTTAGAGAGAGAGGAAGGGAGAGAGATAAATAGAAACATGAATGAGAGAGAACATCTATTAGCCGCCTCCTGCATGCTCTCCACTGGGGATTTGGCCCCCAACCTAGGCATGTGCCCTGACTGGGAATCGAACCGGTGACCTCTTGGTGCCTGGGTCAACGCTCAACCACTGAGCCACACTGGCTGGGTGGAAAAGTTTTAATCACAGTTTCAATATATTTAATATACACGACAGTTCAGAGTTTCAGATTTCACCCACATATGAGTGAAACCATGTATTTCTTGGCCTTCTCTGACTGACTTATTCGACTTAGCATGATATTCTCAAGATCCATCCATGTTGTGGCAAATGACAATATTTCATTTTTTTTTATGGCCGAGTAACATTTGTCTTGTCATCTGTTGGACACTTAGATTGTTTCTATGTGTTCACCTTTTTCTTTCCTAATGAATTCATTCATGGTTCTTACTTTTCCATTTCATAGGTTTGATGCGTAATACTTACATAATCATTCATTTAAAACATTCTCTCAATCCCATTTTGCTTCAAAATTCATGCATTGATTATTGAAGAGTCTGTTGCTTTGATTTCAAAATGTAGAGATATTGGTTATGTTTGACCGTAGAATCCGATGACTCGCTGAGGGTTCCAGGAGCTTCTAGGGGTCCACATCTGGTGTCCAAATGGCCGGGGTCACTAGCTGAGTGTCCATGTGGGAAGCTCCCATGTTTTGTGGGGTCCGTCTCCTGGAGTGTGGGGTCTGAGACCTTCCCGGGCTAGTGGGTGGCCAGAGTTGCATACACACTGGGCTCCTCTGGGGGTTCCTCTGGTGGGGAGGAGCGGGGTGCAGGTTTCTCCCATCTGAGGGCCAAGTGGTTCAGCTGGGCATAGGTCACATCCTGGGGGGCATCCGATGCAGCAGCCTAGGGCAGGGGGAGGGTGAGAGGGATGAAACATGGTGGATGTGGGGTAAGCCTGGATGGGTGGAGGGGATAGGACCCACCTGACTGTCAATCCGTCTGTCCTTCTCTGCTTGTCTGCCCCTTGCGTCCAGCAATTCCTTTGACTGGGAGGAAGGAGAGGTGCCCATTCCCTGCCTGGGTCTTGATCTTGAGTCGTCTACCTGGGCGTACGTCACTTCCTGGGGGTCTTCATAGTGCGTGTTCTGCTGCAGAGAAACAGTGAGACAGAAACAGTGTCTCCTTGATTCCACTGTAGATCAGTCATTATGCACATGTAGCCAGGGTGATGATTTAACTTTGAATAGATTAGGTCCCTCTCCTGATGGTTCCTAAGCCTTGGGGCATCTGGATGCTCCTAAGGTTCTGACTCTTGTCTTAAAATACTTTCTCTCCGTCATTTTTCTCCAGCCACATGGCCCATCTTCTGAAGAAGCATGTCCTGCCTCAGGACCTTTGCACCTGTTATTTTCTCTGTCCCCTATTTCCTACCACCACCACGAACTCTACTCCCTCCTCTTGCTTTATTTCCCTTCACAGCACTTTGCTCTCTGGGACACTGTCACTTGTTTGCATACTGCCCCCTCACCCACAGGTGAGCTCGAGGGGTGTGGAGACAGTGTTGCTCAGGGCTGCACCGCAGCACCTCAAAGGAGCTGTGAACAGTGGGCTCCCCGTTTTATATGCTGGGTGAATGAATGAGGGATCCTGGGGACCTGAGAAGGATTCAGTTGTTCATGTATCCTCCTGAAACCTAGGGCGGCACAGCGTCAGATAGAGGACGAGGAGCCAGCAAAGGGGACCACAGAGGAGGGGTCATGAGGTCACAAGGAAACCAGGAGCAGTGAGTCACAGCAGGACGACCTGGGTGCCCAGAAGCAGAGGTCAGTGTGGACACTGCCGAGAACCAGGTGATGTGAGGACAGGGAAGAGTCCATTGGCTAAACTGGGCAACATAAGGTGCTTGGTGCCTGGACAGAAGCAGGGTCTCACCTGAGAGTCCAGCTCCACCGTCTCCCCAGGCTGTGGGTCCTTCAGGGCAGCATCTGCTGGAGCAGAACAGAGTGTGTCTCCTGACAGGGTCCCCAGTTCTCAGGGTTGCAGACTCCTCCTGCTCCCAGATGGACCACTAACCCAGGGGTGAGGTGAGGTACTAAGTCCCGCAATGTGGACTTTAGTCCTTCTCACCGCTGACCCCCTACTTCATCCCAGCCTATCGTGCCCATTGCCTCCTGGAATCCCTGTGCCCCTCCCCAGGCAGCTGTCTCTTCCTCTCACAGAGGGGCTCTTCCTGGGCGTCCACAGTGGGGTGGAGCTGGGGCAGGAGACGGAAGTCTTAAGGGCACAGTGGGAGCATGGTCGGTGAACGTCTGCCGTCTTCAGGGAAGGGGTGATCGATCTGCAGGTCTCTGTTTTTGGGCTCTGGGTCTGTGGCCCCTGCAGGAGGTTGGACACGAGCCTCTCTCTGGGCTGGCCACGCGGGACAGCGCCAGCCCTGGGAGGTCAGGAGCCCCCTCCCCGTGCGACTCCGCAGGAAAGAAGGAAACCTTAGCACACACTGTGCGCATGTTTCGCAGTTCATGACATTGAAAACGATGGAAGATTAATCACACCTGCACATCTGTGGTGACGTGGAGTGTTTTCTCTCTCGATTTCCTGATGTGAGATTCTGAAGGAATCTTTTTCTCAGCTGACCTCCAGCTATTCGGTTTTCCTGTGAGCGCCCCCTTCTGTGACCCAGGTCACCCCATTCCCTACTCACCTGATGTCCGGCCTTTGCCCTGACGCTGGTGTCGGAAGAAGAGGAAGAGGAGGGGAAGGAGCAGGAGGAGGAGGGCCACCGAGACCCCGATCAGGATGTACAGGTACCGCGGGAGACCTTGGACATGAGTGATGTCATGAATGAGCTAATGATGTCATTTAATGAGCACCTACTATTCCCTCTGACCTCACACAGTCATGCACCAGGGAATGCTGACCCACCACCCATGTCACTGAGGCTCAGTGAGGTTAGTCACCTGCCCCAGGTCACCCAGCCTGGAGGGGGCAGGGATGGGCTGGAACCCAAACAGAGGGAACACTTGTGTGTTGTTATTTTTTTATTATTCTTTAAAAAAAATTTTTTTTAAAAATTTTTTTATCCTCACCTGAGGACATTTTTTTTCCATTTTTTTTTTTGTTCAGATAGAGTGGAAGGGAGAGAGAGAAACAGAGAGAGAGAGAGAGAAACATGGATGTGAAAGGGACACATCGAGTGGCTGCCACCCGCAGGACCCAACCAGGGCCGGGGACAAACTGCAACCGGGGTACGTGCCCTTAGCGAAAACCGAACCCGGGTCTCTCTGGACCGCAGGCCGACGCTCTAACGGCTGAGCCAAACCTGCCAGGGTTTGTGTGTTATTATTATTATTATTATTAAATATTATCTATGCTGTCCTTGTATGCTCCAGGTAGAACACCAGTGCAGAGACTTGTCACCAAAGCCAATCACCAACAGTCTCCAGACCAGGCCAGACCCAGCTCCCACACTGCAGACTGACCCCCCACCCACCGCAGTGGGGCCTGTGTGCACATGGAGAGTGTGTGTCTGGAAAGGGCAGGGGGAGGCTGTGTCCTTCCTGAGCTGTAACTAGGGTGAGGCTGGGAGCTGAATGCTGTCACTGTGAGGGGGGTGGCGGGAGACCCGTGCACACCCATGAACCTAGGACTCGGGAGGAACAGATTGTCTGAGATCCCAGTGGGGAAGGGGCAGAGCTGGGATTTGAACCGGGGTTGTGGCTTCTTTTCCTGACTTCATTGCAGCTCCTTGAAAGCTTGTGGAGGAGAGCTCAGACACCGTCGGTGTCTCCAGCACAGACGGACATGCACACATGTTTGCACGCACACAACACACTCATGCGCACACCTGTACACACACACACACACACATGCACACATATGCACACACAGGCACGAACAAGCACACACATATACACACACACAGTGTTCAAGCGTCTTTGGAGACATGGGTTCCCTGAGAAGAAGAAACTGTCCTCAGGCCATTACCAGGAAGTGGCTGAGCCAAGACCAAACCGAGCTCCTCCCCCACCCCCTCCCCACAGACACTCACTGAGCCCTCCCTGGGCCTCACTCAGGGGCACCAATATTTAGAGCCTCCTGGGATCAGATGGGAGCTGAGGGGTAGGAGCTGTTTCCTCTGCCCATTTCCACCCAGCTGCTCCTCCCCAGGGTGGGACCACAGCATGGCCACCCCACCTGTCACCTGCCAGCCTCAGAGTCCTGGAGCCTGTGGGTCCCCAGTATGTCTGCCAGTCCCCACCTCTGGGAGACCAGCCATGCCCCAGCAGGGGGTCTTGTCCTCTCTGGGGCCAAAGCCTCTGCTAGTCCCCACTCTTGTCTTGGTCTCTCAGGGTGTGGACACAGGACTGGAGACGGAAGGGGGTCGGGATGGGTGCCTCTGACCTTTTCCCCTTTTGGTCAGTCCAAGTCTCTCCAACCTCCCTCTGCCCACCGGGAACATGTCTGGGCCTCGGGATGGGGGTGACGATGAGGCAGGGATGGGAGTTGCTCTGGCTTTTTCCATCCCTCTGAGAGGTGAGGTCCTCTCTGGCTGCCCCTCCTGTGACCCCCTCACTGCTATTCCAGCCCATGGTGGCCTGGAAACTGGGCCCTGAACTGACCATGAGGACACAGGGGGTAGGGCTGGGGGTCCTCACCTGAGACCAGGAGCTCCAGGGGGTCACTGGGGTGTGACAGCAGGTAGGGGGAGGAACTGCGTGAACCATAGCACCTGTAGGTGCCCCTGTGGGCTGAGGTCACAGGACTGAAGGTGAAGTTGGCCTGAGAGGGTGCAGTCATCTTCTGCAGACGAAGGTGCAGGGGGGGATCCAGAGACCCCTCCCTGTGCAGGTGGAAGGTGTCCAACCAGGTCTCAGATCCACACTGCAGGGTCATGTTCGCTCCCCAGGGCACTGAGGGGCCCGGCAGGATGGAGAGGGAGGGTTTCCTGTACATTCCTGGGGAGGGCAGGGGTGATGTGTAGAGAGCTGCCCCCTCCCATATGCCCTTGACCCTGAGCTGAGGGACCATGTCCTTCCCCAGGGACGCTGTCTGTGATCCTTCTCAGCTCCTCTCAGTGCCCCCGGGGAGATGTCTGTATGTCTAAGCCCCTCACTCCGCCTTCCTCACTCCCTCCCTCTGTACCTCTGCCCTTCTCAGCCTCTGCCCCAGGACCCTCTCCTGACCCAGCACCACCAGGGGACCCTGTCCCCAGCGCCCTGAGCAGACACTCAGGACAGGGCCAGGGCTGGGCTCCTCACCTGTGACCAGGATGTCCAGGGGGGCGCTGGGGGCTGACCACGCATAAGAGAGGCTGTGTCCACTGTAGCATCTGTACCGGCCCCCGTGGGTGTGGTTCACATGGCCCAGGGGGAAGTCGGGGCTGTGCTGCCCGACAAGGCGCTGGGGTGTGAGCCCCTGGTCCTTGGTCAGCGCGAATCTGTCAAAGCCAGCCTCCGAGCCACACTGCAGGGTCAGGCTGTCTCCAGGCAGCACCAGGGAGCCCGGCTGGGCCGAGAGGGAGGGCTCCCTGTGCACACCTGGGAGAAGGGGATGTGGCACCAGGGGGCACACACCCCATTGCCCACTGGGGCTGCAGGGAGAGTCCTGTCCTGTCCCTCCCTAACCTCCCACCTGAGGTTCTGTCCCCCAGAGGCCAGAGGCCAGTGTCACTGACCCCCTGACCCCAGGGCTCCACTGGGCACAAGCCTAGGTCAGTCATTTTAGGCCCAGGGAACAGATGGGTTTGCACAGGGTCTGTCCACTCACCTGTGACCTCGAGACGCAGAGGGTCACTGGGGTGTGACCACTGATTGGGGTAGGATCTGGGGGAACCATAGCATCTGTATGTCCCCCCGTGGGAGGAGTTCACGGGGCCCAGAGGGAAGGTGGCCTGGGCATAGGTCCTCCAAGCACTGGACCTCGATTGCGGTTCCATGTGTCGGGGCGGGTCAGCTCCTCCCTCCTTCAGCAGATGGAAAGTGCCCCATGTGTCCTGTGAGCGACACACGAGGGACACGCTCCCTCCTGAGGCCACCACAGGGCTTGGCTGGGCTGAGAGGGAGGGTGCTCTGTCCACTCCTGAGGGAGAAGGGGGATCCGTGTTACAGGGACCATCACCTACATGTTCCCAGTGTGGACTGTGGGGTGAGGTACCCCCGAGCCCACCCCTCATTTTCTGAGTGTGAGAGGAGCCACAGTGGGGAGGGCACCCGGGTTCCACTTACCTGTCAGCACCAGGAGCAGGGGGTCACTGCGCTCTGAGAGTTTGCTCTCAGTGGTGTAATACGCACACTCGTAGAGCCCTGCATGCTGTGAGCGGGCAGATTCAATGAGGAAACCGGTCTTGTTGCTGAAGTTCTGTGGGGTCTTCGTATCCCAGGGCTTAGAGCCCCTCTCTTTATATAGAACGTAGGCAGTAGCCTGCAGAGACGCCTGACACCAGAGGGTCACAGGGCTCCCCGTGGTGACCAAGGGGCCAGGGTCCGCCCAGATGGAGGGTTTGGGGACAACTTCTGGAAAGGAATCAGATCCAAAATATCAGGGGAGCCCTTCTCTCCCTTATGATGTCATGAATAAGCCTATGATGTCATGTACTGTGCACCCACTATGTGAGGCACCTGCTGGGGTCTGTCATTCATCCCTCTCTCCTCACACAGTCATGCACCAGGGACGGTACCCCACCACCCAGGTCAAGGGGCTCAGAGAGGTAAGTCACCTGCCCCATGTCACCCAGCCTGGACGGTGCAGGGCTGGGACTGAAACCCGGGACTGTGGGTGCCCTGTGCTCTCCTCATGCTGCCCCAGAGGGACCTCAGCTTCGTGCTCTGGCCTCTCATCTGCAGGGGCCTGTCCACGTCTCATCTGAGCTGAGGGTCCTTCCTTATTCCCCACCCTCAGCACAGCAGAGACACGGGAGGAGCAGGGGTGTGGGGTGGCCTCTGTGTCTCCCCTGGATCCATCTCCACCCTGCAGATGCCCCCTAGGAAGGTCGGGTGGACTGGGGCTCTGCCTTCCTGAGTTCTGTGGGGCCCCTTATGTCACCTTATCTGACAGCAGCCTGTGAGCAGGAGGAGACCCGAGATGCACAGACATGACCCAACACTCAGGGAAGGGAAGGGACCACCTGACCCCCCGCAGGAGCAGCAGAGCTGGGAACTGAACCAGGTCTGACTCCAGCCCTCTCTCCTCTGAGCTGAGCCTGGGCTGAGGGAAAGGACCTGGATGCCCCAGACCCTTGTCCTGCCTGCCCCTCCCTGTGCATGTCACCATCACTGTTGAAGAGGGGACAGTCCCCACACCACGTCCTGGGTGTCCCTGTGAGGCCCCCTCCCCCAGGAGGTCAGAACCAGAACTGAAAGGAAATCTAAGCTCTGGGCCATGAATTTCTCCTTTTACACTTGGGGACCCTGAGGCCCAGACAGGGGAAGGGCGCATCCAAGTCAGTGTCTATAGAGGGGTCTGAACCCCTCATGACTCAGCACCTGTCCCTCATGGACACCCCACCACCTCCCCACAGGCCCTCAGTTACCCCGCTGCAGGCCTGACTCCATGTGGGGAAGGGACCCATCCTCAGTTCCTCCTGGGATCTGGATTGGTGGTGGGGGCTGTTTTCTCCCCACTTGAGCTCAGTTTCTCCTCCCCCTTCCCAGGCCCCAACGTCTCCCTGGGCCATGACCACCCCACCTGTCACTTGCCTCACTTAACCCTCTGCAGGCCTATCCATTGTGGGGTGAAGCCTCAGAGCCCTGAAGCCCCTGGTTCACCCTCAGTCTATCCCCTGCTCCCAGCCCCTGGGACACAGCCTGTCCTTAGTGTCGGGGGCATGAGACCCTCTGAGGGAATCAGAAGCATCCGGGGTGGTCTGTGCTCCCTCTGAGCACACACGCCCCATGACTCACCAGCTGTGGAGATGGGCCCTGTGGGTGGGGGGCTGGGGGAACAGAGGGTCCTGAGAAAGAGAACAGAAGAGGGTGAGAGTCTGGGGCTGACCCTGGGGTCCCCATCTCACTCAGACTCCTCCTCCATCTGCCCGGAGCACCCTAGAGGCCCTCCCATGGCCCACCTGGCATCTTCTCCACCGAGGTGAGGGGAAGGGGTAGACAGGGGTAGGAGAGTCTCTGAGGGGCAGGGGTCTTCTGGGTGACCACCCCTAGAGTCCTCTCTCCCTCTCTTTCAGCTCCTCTTTCTTCTGGGGTCAGACCCTGAGCCGACAGCACAGAAAGACAGAGCCAGGGGCCCCTCACCTGAGACCCGCAGCTCCAGGGACTCACTGGGGTGTGACAGCAGGTAGGGGGCGGTGCTGAGTGAGCTGTAGCACCTGTAGGTGCCCCCGTGGGCGGAGGTCACAGGACTCATGGAGAACTCTGCCTGGTACTGCTGAGCTCGGTGCTCTGATGGAAGATGCAGGGGGGGATCAGCTGTCCCCTCCTTGGACAGAAGGAAAGTTTTCGTCGGATACTGTGACTGACACAGCAGGGTCACCTTCTCTCCTGAGGTCACCATGGTGCCCGGCTGCACCGAGAGGGAGGGTCTGTCAGAGAGCTGTCCTAGAGAGAGGGAGGGTGGGTGACGGGCTGCCTGCCCACCTTGTCCTGACCTGAGAGTCACCAGGCCTCTCTCCTAGGACCCTGTTCTTTGTCTGTCTCTGTTCTCTCTGAGTCTCCCCTCTCCCCTCACACACCCATCTCTGTCTCTCCCTCCCTGGGCCCTGCACTTTCATTCTGACCATGACCACCTGCGACCCCCCAGCAGGGCCTGTGCAGAGTCTGGTCCCTGACTGAACCCCTGACTCCTCACCTGCCACCAGGATGTCCAGGGGGTCACTGGGGGCCGACCACTCAGAGGAGAGGTTGTGTCCACCGTAGCATCTGTACCGGCCCCCGTGGGAGCTGCGCACTGGGTCCAGGGAGAAGTCGGCCTGAGAGAGCCCAACCTGGGGCTGCAGGACCAGGCTCTGTGTGGGGTCCAGCTCCTCCTCCTTGGACAGAGCGAATCTGTCATAGCCGACATCAGAGCGACACTGGAGGGTCAGGCTCTGTCCAGAGGCCACGATGGGGCCCTGCTGGGCCAGGAGGGAGGGCGTCCCAGACACACCTGAGAGACCAGACGTGAGTACAGGGGCTGCTCCTCCCATAACCCCTTCTCCTGACCTGGCCCGGGTCTCACTGTCTCTCTGTGTCTCTGCTCCAGGAGCCTCTGTGCTCCCCTGACCCCACCTCTGACCTGTGGCTCCCTCCCAGCAAAGATGCCAACAACCTGTCTGGTGCCTCAATCCATGGAAGGGACAATAATGGGACTCACCTGGGACCAGAAGCTCCAGAGTGTCACTGGGCTGTGAACACACTTGGGGTCGGTAACTGTAACAGCCATAGCATCTGAACGTCCACCTGTGGCTGGGGGTCACGGGGCCCACAGGGAACAGGGCCTGGTTCTGCCCACTGGGGTGTGTCTGTGAGTCCAGGGTCCAGAAGAGCCTGTGTTCTCCTTCCTTAGTCAGGATGAACCTGCCAAATCCCAGCCCTGAGCCACACTGGAGGGTCACGTTCCCTCCTGAGGTCACGACAGGGCTGGGCAGGGCTGAGAGGCTGGGTTTGCTGTAGGATCCTAGGAGGGGAGGAGACAGCATGTGAAATGGGGTCACACCTCCCTCGTGTCCCCCAGGGCTGGGCTGTGAGAGGGCAGAGGCCCTGAGAGCAGCCCCCTTCCTGAGGGCAGAGCCTGAGGCTGGGACCCTGAGTGTCCCCTCACCTGTCACCACCAGCTCCAGGGGGTCACTGCGCTCTGACCAGCCAGAGGGGCTGCGATAGTAACAGCGATATCTCCCTGCATCATGGTCTGTCATGTTTGTGATGGAGAACGTGGCCTTGTCTCCGGGGTTCGGTGGCTTCTGTGTTTTCCATGGAGGTGTTTTTCCCTTTTTATCCAGACGGTACTCCTCAGCCCCCAGAGTCCCCTGACATGTGATGTTCACGGGGCTCCTCCAGGGGATCACAGATCCTGGCTCAGCCTGGAGGGTAGGTTTGGGGAGGGTCCCTGGAAGGAATCAGATGCTGGGTCCTAAGACATTCCCACCCCAGTCCCCAGCTTCCCATCCCCGATGTCCCTCATCTGTCAGACAGGTCTGCTCTCCTCCTTCCCCATCTCCCTGGGGGTGTCCCTGTGTCCAGAGGGAGTGAGACCTGGGGACAGACTCACCTGCCTGCACTCTGGTCCTCAGGCCCACGCTCAGCCCTGGAAGAGAGTCCCTGTGAGAGGTTCGCCCTGACCCCTGACAAGAACCCTCCTTCCTGTGAGCCTGCTGAGTTTCAGGAACTTCTGACAGAGCAGGGCTTCCCCTCCCCCCGTCACATCTCACCCAGGCAGAGCAGGGCGGTGAGTGTGGGGGTCATGACGTCCTGTCCCTCTGGGGTCAGCTGAGCAGATGGAAGGGACCACGGTGCCAGAAGGATGGACAGACAGACATGCAGGACGGAGAGACAGATGCACAGGTTGTGGTCCCTTGGAAGTTGGATCTGCCTCTCACAGGATAGTCACAGCAGTGGCCTACAGTTGCGGGCACCGCCTCTTTCTATCAGCCTGACTCACTTTTATGATACAGCTGGAAACAGGTGAGGTGACCTAGGGCACATCCTGCCCTGTCAGAGCCTCCCCCGTAGGGGTCTCCACCATCCTCAGCCCATCCCTCAGCACCTCCCTGGGGTCCTCACCTCGGACGTTGTCAGACCCTGGAGATGCTTCAGGAAGACGTGGGTTCCTGTGGGGCTCAGATCAGCAGAGACACGTTCACCCTGTAACTGAGCAGGGCAGGCGCGTGTCCCTGTGACAATGAGCACAGAGGAGAAATGCAGGGAAATGAGGGAAGGAAACACATCCCCCTGTGGCTTCAGGGGCTGGGCTTTCTATCTCGTGTTTTCATGAACTTCTCCTTTTCCTTAGCGACAGCCTCCAGCCCCTCCTCCCTGGGCACCACCCTCTGGGTCCTGATCCCCCTCAGTGCCCCTGCTCCTTGGGCAGAGCTGACCCCAGTGTCACGGCTTTTTTCTAAAAATTAAGGGGCAGTGATTTGGGTTGGAGCTTTGATTGTTGAGGGAAATTTATTTTTATTTAAATATATGTGCACCACCTTCTGCCTGCGTGAACTGAGCAGTAATGTCTTCATTTGATGTCCCCCCCTTTATTATTATTATTATTATTTACAAGAGAATACATTCACCATTATTTATTTACTTTTCAATATGTTTCAATCTTCTGGGGGGTACGTATTACACAGATTCTGTGTCTAATGGCTTTAGCAGGAATGGACAGATGGACCCCAGGGTGTGGTCACTCAAGGACTGGCCCTCGCTGTCTCTGGTTTATGTCACCAGCCCCTGGGGAAGGGGAACCTTCCCTCCCCAGAAGATTAGCACCTGTTCCTGGTGGATCAGGAAATAGATCGGAGCCTCCTGAGATGCCCCTTGCAGGTGAGGGGACCCAGGGCACGTCCTTCCCTATCAGAGCCTCCCACGTGGGGTCCTCCTTTATCTTCATGTTGTCCATCAGCATCTCCCTGTGGGGTCCTCACCATGGACAGTGGTCACCAGGTCTTGGAGATGCTTCAGGAAGACGTGGGTTCCTGTGGTCTGCAGAGCTCAGATGCACAGAGATGCTCACCATCAACTGTGCCGTTCGGGTGAGTATCACTGTGACAATGAGCACAGAGGAGAAATGCAGGAAAATGAGGCAAGAAAAATGGGTTCTTCTCCTGGCCCCAGAGTGTGGGTCCTCGTTCCCTCTCAGCCCCTGGTGAGCTTCCCTTTCTGACCACAGCACCCATCGCATCAGCGCGGGAAGAAGCCTGTGAGTCATTCCTGCCCCTCAGCACCCTTGCCCCTTGGGAAGGTCTCTCCTCCTTGTCCTGTGACCTTGTCTTCAGGTTTAGTGGACAGTACGAGTGTGATTGCTCTGATTTGGGCAATAAAACATGCTTATGGAATGATTCCTCCGTGGCCCATTTCTGGAGTGACCTTAAGCATCAACATGCAGTTTCCTGAGTCTCCGTGTCCCCACCTGCAGCAGGTTGTCAGGAACCCAGGGCCCGAGAGTGGTTGTGGAGTCCTCGCCCCCGGGACATGGAGGGAGCCCTCCTTGTTCATTTCCACACCTGCCTAAGGCGCGTGAGGTGAGGCATGAGAAGTGTTGTTGAAAATCCACACAACATGGAATGTT